GCTGCCTATCGGTATGATAGAAATGACGCATTGTCCGACAGAGTTCAAAAGGAAGAGCTGAGGGAACGAAGAATTAACTCTCAGCCACGACAACCACGACGACGCCCGAGCTGCTGCCGCCTGCAGAAACTCAATTAAGCTCACTTTCCTGCTACACTCCTGACGCCTGTGGTGTCATCGAGATTCTCAATCTTTCTTTCATTCGTATTTGAAAACCAGGCCGTTTCTCGCAGTTAAAACCGCGTGACAAGAGAACAAGAAAAAAATACAACTCGGACAACGATTGTCGTCTTACTTCCCAAATAATTATCATGTCGCAATGTTATACTGCACGCGATCATAAGAAACGAAAGACAAGTAAGCGGCACTGGATAAGCATTCTTTTCAAAAGGAAGCACAGGTCGAGGCAGCACAGATCACTGCTCATCGAGAGCAAGCACCCATCAACCTGATAGTTTATTTTTTGTTTTTCTTACGCCGGTTCTTTGCAGCGCGACGAACGGCGTGACTCGCCCGACAATTATGTTCTATATCGTACCGTCAGCTCTCTTCACTTGTGCGCCTCTCGCGCGAATATTTGTCTCCCTCGATCGATCTAACTAATAACACTCGCGGATAAATCAGTTTTAGAGCCAACCTTCATCTCCGTCTCTTTGCTTTCTTAATGACCGCTCTGCCTCTCTCTCTCTCTCTCTCTCTCTCTCTCTCTCTCTCTCTCTCTCTCTCTCTTTCTCTTTCTGCTTGATTCGAGTTGCGCACAATTGGCAGTACAATCATCGGCTCGCGAGTGACTCACGCGGGAGACCTCGTTAATTATTCGTCGACAAGCGCGCACGCGCACGCAAATCCGCCGCACATATGCTCGTGCAGGCGCGCACGGAACAAGCGGGAGACGCGTGCTCGCGGGTCATCTTTCATTGAGAGGATACTCGTCGCGCGCGCGACTTCCGGTATTACGCGCTGCGCAGAGTATAAGGTGGCGCGGGTGTATAGAGATGCACGCAGTACGCGTGCGTTCCACGATTGGAGCCGTTATCGGCGATAAGCCAGTTTCTATTTATACGCGCAAGGTGCTTACGAGATAAGCGATAAGCGAATTTCGCAGTTGCAACGAAGCCGTGCACACGAGGAGCTTTCGCGCGACACGCTCCACGGTGTTGCAGTTCAAAGCTCAGAGCGATAAGACAAGTCGGCAAAGGTACAACCAATCTCGACGGCGACGGCGGCGCGAGATGTACCGTTGACGGCACAGTTAGCGCTGGCGCAGCTTGGCTCTCGGTTCCAGCGCGTATATATACTCGTGCCTCGCGGCACGAGCCCATTGTGAGCAAGCTGGTCATGCCGTAGCGCCTCGACGGCCACACCTTCGTCGTTCGTTGACTCGCCACCATCCGCCACTTTGCTTCAGTTTCCAGCAGCGCGCGGACGACGACGCGCGCCCGACTGATCTATCTGTGCCTATCCTTCGGTTTCTCGACGCGACGTCTTGTTTTTCTCACTTCGATCGCGCGCAACTGCACGAGTATTGTTTTTATTTTTTTTACTTTTACGTATTGCCAAACGAGCTCGCATAACGCGAAAAACCAGGAGCTTCGTGTACGCAACGTAACGAGACCAAAGAGTACCGACGACGAAGAGGCGTGTTAGTCCAAGAAAAGTCACACACGCTTCAAGCCTATATTACTTTCACGTCGTGCGACGACACGCTCGTGCGACTATGTGCTTCCTGATCACGTGACCGCGTTACAAACGCAACCAACAGTACACAATGCCATAATTTCGCCCTATTGGTAGCTTTGGCTTCTCTCTGGACTCTCGCGAGCGAGTGGCCGACGCGCGTATAAATGAACGAACCGGTTTACGCGAATTTAGCCTGTCGTCAGCACTACAACCGGCTTTTCAACCCTGCTACGAGCGTTTGTGGTGCAATTCATTCGCTCGGCTTGAAAAATGAAGTCTTTGCTGATCTAGTTATATATTTTTCATGTGCTGTACGTGTGATTTTTTTTTATATATAAAAGAATGCGGCAGTAATTACTGCTTGTGAAGGAATTTCAAAGAGGCACTTGTAAACGGCAAGTGCGTGCGCTTACTTTTCCAAGATAGGATGATATAGCAAATTGGTTCCCACATTTAAACAGCCCAATAGGCCAGTGAAATTAATCAACGCCTCTGGCTCCCCCCGAGAGCGCGTTAAAACAATAGCGGTACCGTGCGAGACCTCCCATAATCCACGTTGCGTTGCATTATGATGTCATCGCTACATATTCATTGAAAATCGAACGCGAGTTCGCTCGTCGGGAGCGATGTGTAATGCACATTACTCATCCACGAAAAATAACATTCGCATGAGAGAAAGAGAGAGCCTAAAAATAATACTAACATAAAAATGATGGCGTTTGGCTGCCCCGCGTACACCAATTCCCACGAGACTTGTGAAGAAAAAAATCAACGGAAGGGGAACGTGACATGCGATTGAAATTGCGATAATGTTCGTATGCGCGATGTCGTACTTCCTCTCGCAGTGTTTTTAATTAATTACTTTCTTCGCCTGTGTTTGAAATTCAAATGCCGTTGTAGCATATTTGGAATAACGAGCCACTGCAGATTCAACATTATCTGAACGAAAAATCTTGACCCGAGTGCTTCAATGACAAGAGTCGGTCGTCAAGGCAAGCATGCGTACGATTGTCCCCCGAAAGCATCACACGGCGAATCGTCTAACGTGCCTGACGGGCAAAAGTAGAGTAGAACGACAGACGAATTGCACATAACGTACATGTGATTGAACTTGCGCGCGGAGGCTGATGCCGCCGCCGCTGACTGCGGGGAGAATCACGCCGCAACGCATCTGCCGCTGCTGCCTACGTCAGCCTGCGCTTAATCCTGTTCATCCACTTCCCTCTCTCTTCGTCTCGGCAGTGACGCTACTTTTTCTCGGCACGCGCGCTCTACACACGCGCCCGCACGCTTTTTTGGTACACACACGGACAGACCTTTTGTTGATTTATTTACGAGACTCACGGGGGTGCGATCTTTCCTTTTTCGACTTTCGTTTTATATATATACACACACACGCACACGCACGCACGCACACACACACTAACGATTGTTTTGAGCGGTTGCGCCTTGGTTTATATTTATAGCCCTGACGTTCAAATGCTAGAATTTCATTAATCCGACAGATTATATCAGAGTATGGCGAGAGAATGTTAATTCTTGTAGATTCAGCGAACAAACAATAAGTTCGTCTGGTAGACATCAAGCATCATTGATATTAACACGATAACCTGCATTAACGCGTTCATTTATATTAATTCCTGCTCGAAACGACAGCGAAAAATCGTCGATAATGCAGATTTTTTAGCTGACAAAATCAAAACAAATACTGGAGTCTGTGCTCAGCTTATTTGAAACGATCATTTACACACAGAAATGCATTCAGTATCAGAACATGAGTAATTAATTCATACTATATACCGCATTCCAAGCATCGTCAATGTTAAAATTAGATTAGAAAAAAATACTTGTCATTCTGGATCATGCAACAACAATAACATGCGCACACACATATTCAGTAGTATATAATGCCTGGGCCAAAGTAAATTTTATGTCCAAGAATAAAATGGTTGTGTTTGACGAGAGGGTGGCATGCAATGAAGTATTGTACCCCTCGCATGTCTAAATCGATCCGTTCTTGAGGAGAATGAAAACATTCGCACTCTCGCACGAAAGGAAAGAGACAATGCACAAATGTGCACATTGTGTGTGCAGGCGCCTACTTAATTTCCCATTCAGCCGTTACTGCCGTAGTCGGCAAAAAAAAAGCTTCTGCACGACTAAAACCTAATTGCTTTTCAACAATCGCTAATTAATCCTCCTACTTCTTCTACGTAGTTACTTTATGCGATACATCCTCGTACACGCGCGGGTGGCGAAGGAAAATCTTAGAACAAAAGCGTGGCGGTGGCGTTTTATAACCTCACAGCTGGACGTCATCAGGGGTAGCGAATACACACCGACTTCCGAGAGGAAAATAATAATGAAAAAAAAGAAAGAAACTAGACGGCACTCCTCTTTTGAGGAAAAGCCGAACAACAAAGAACGCCCACGCGTGAGTAAATCCATAGTAAAAAATCCATCGAGGAATTCACCCTACATCGATGTCACCCTCTAGGACCATCGTGCATTGTCGTGAATTTCAACAAATGTGTCGAGACAGTACAGCAGCACACGTACACACGTCTGCACGCACGAACACACGCACACACACACAGCGGTAAAATAAATTCTGTAGATGACAGTATACATGTATAGCTATCGTGCATAATTTATTCTTATTGACGTTTACAGCGAGGCTTAATTGCAACACGGCCATGGCGAGCAAACAGCAATGAGAGAATCGATAATTAGGTTTGAGAGAATAGAAAAACAAAAGCGTATCAGCGTTTTGCTGGTTCTTGTTGGTTAAAAAAAAAGAGCCATTAACCGCATCATTAACCACTGTCGATATATATAATTCTTTCATTAACACGTACAGCGGGCGAAAGAGATTGGTGCTGCACTGCAAATAAAACGCGATGCGCAAGTGCAGTACGTACTGGCAGGTGAAACTTCACCCCGTAGTATACAATGCAACGACATGCTAGAACGTTATCAGATGCCGGCACGATGAGATAACCCCTCAAAAAAGCGACTAGTAGTATTTGTCAAAGAACAAAAAGAAGTTGAATCACGTCGCGCCCATTGTGTATACGACGATGATGAAGCCTCAGAGCATATACGTATAGCTTTTTCACCTTCTCTCACTCACGGGATAGTAATAATGGCACAAACTATACTCTACGAAACGTATACGGCGCGCGCGCGCGCCCGCGCTATAGTAGTGACAACCACTGGCTGTGTGTTGCGAAAGAACTGGCTCGCGCGCGCGGCACTCAGCTCTCGCATTCACCTGAACGGATTTTTGCCGACGCCCAAAAACTCAACTGCACACTGACCTCACTCTCCAGAGATCCTTCGCTCGGTATCAAGCCACTGAGTTATCCATGAAAGAAAGCCCCAAGGAACTTTTGTTATAACTCTCTTTCACACACCTTGATCCTACTTCTCCTTCCTTGCGCTTTTCGTTGTTATATCTTCCTGCGATGCAAACAGCCGATAAATTAAACAAAAAAATGAAATCAAACTGCACCACGCGCGCTGCGAGGACGCCGTACGGACGATCGAACACTGTTCTCTCTCCTCGATGCGAACCCTTAATGAAAGAGCCAGAGAGAGACAGACAGACGCAGAGCTTTGATTCGATTATTATATATACAGCGTGGCGCCGTACTCTGTCAGTCGCGAGGGAATGCCAGAGACTGGGCTGGGCCCCGCTTAGCTCTCAGCTCACACTTCACGGACCCGCAACGCTACTGCTGCGACGACGGCGGCGTCTCTGTCGCTGTGGCTATGTATACGTGTATAAAGTTAAGTCCGTCTCGTTTGCTCGCCGAGCATGCACTGCACTGTGCGCGCTGAACGCGTAAACAACTTTAGCTTGTACCTTTAGCTGCGCTCTATCACACGGGTAGGCGGCAGTGTTAAACGTGTGTTGGTGTACGGTGTTCCAATTCCATAGTAGCTATAAAAGCTTATAAGGGATCGTGTGGTTATTGGTATACTCGAGACATCTGTTGATGAGAATAGAAAGTTTTCGATGATAGTTTGCTGCGGTTGATAACAGGTGCACAAACGCACATATACGTATGTGTAATATGTTTTTGGAGCAGCCGCTATTTTTATTTTTTACAGCCTCTGCTTCAAAAATACATTTTTACTCCGTTTTGTATTTCTCCTTATTAAACTCGTTAAACAATAAACAAATCAACTGATATTATCTACAGCTATTATTTATAATCAAGAGCTGACGTTGATATTAAAGCGATGTAAGAGTTATAAATAAAAAAACTACTTAATTGACCGTGTTGTTTATACATCTTTTGGAAATGCAGTTTCACGGGCTCTTACACGATTTCTAGCCAAATTAAACTCACTATTACCCTTTATGTTTTCCTTTCTCGATTCTCGATAATAACTATTATACTCATGGATAATTGAAACGAGACGACTAAAAAATTTTTTTCCAGTCTGAGACATCTGACAGTTTCAAATTTAGATCATTTTGCAATTTCTTTTATTTTCTATAAAATATCAACGATTATATTTTTAGTTTAACATTTTGTTTTTCATGTATTGAACTGTTGGGAATACTATACTACTTACAAATGATGTAATCGAAATCCCAATTTGCTTTAATCCATAGCTGATCATTCGCATGACTTGCGTATAAATTATTTTGCCTAGTCTTTTGTATTCTCTGAAAGCTATTGTGCATTTTATAATCTCAGCAAAGTAAAAGCTAATATTAAGTATTTTTGTTATTCATGTGGGCTTATCGAATTATTTTTTTTTATAATTATTATTTTATCAAACATTAATCAATATTGAATTTCCAAGTTAAAATTTCCAAAGCTTGTAATCATGTTTATTTATTTTGTTATCGATGTTGTGATTAATGGAAAATAATAAACATATATATATATATAAGTTGATGTAGAACTATACAGTTAGTCCACCTCTAATGGATTGATTACTATTATTGTTGTGATTAAAGTTGCTTTCAACTTTGACGGCAGTTACTTGAATACTATAGTCTATTAGCTGGAAACAGGACGGATTTGGAGAATTCAGGATTTTTCAAATATAGCATTTTGAATTAAACATTAACGTCCACACACATGCGCGCGCGCACGTATACGCAGAGTTGAATATGTGCTTTTTCTCTTTTAGTGCTTTTAATGTAGATTCTATCGTAAAACCAATTGATCCGTAGTATTATACGTGAAAAAGTACGTAACAAAAAATATGCATGTATAAGAAATTTTTAAAATAATATTGAGTTGCTATTTGATTTTAAAGAAATGAAAGCGTTAGTGCGCGATGCAAAGTAATGTTCCACTTTGAGTTAAAAAAATGTTTCATAAACTACATATTATGATGAGTTTCAAAATGACGATTTTAATGAAAATGTTACCATTGATTGAAACGTAATTGGTATGCAATATGAATGACAATTTCTTTAATGAGCTAATTTTGTGTAATTATTGTCTATAGAATAGTTTGAAGGTAAAATATAACATTTGTAACTTGACTGTCAAAACTAAACTACGTTTTGATAATATATAAAACCAATATTTAAAAACATAAATTAGAATCATCTATATAGTGTATTTCAATATGAGTGAAAGAAATATTTTGTCTACACGACTTATTGATGTTGACATGTATTCGATTTTAACTTGTCATCACAACATACAAAAATTATTGTAAGCAAGTACGTATATTACATATACCGAATTATTGAATCATGTTATTCATAATTATATTTGTATTATAAGATAACGATCGATTCTTAAATTATAAATTATAAATATAATATACCATTTCATAGATTTTACTATAATTAAAATGATAGTATAGTTGAAAATAATGCAAAAAACTCTGAGTACATACTCACATTAACTTGTGTGAATATGAAGTATAGATGACACCAAACTGATGTTACATTAAACTATAAACCCAAATGGATACACGTAATTTAAAACAAAACTTTTCTCTAACAAATAACTTATATAACAAATAAATCAGGTATAACATGTAAATATACACAATGGACATGTATTATTGATTATTACTTTTAAGAAATTCATTTATAAGTTATATGTATGTACATATATAATAACTTTGTGTTTTTATAGGCGAGAAAGTTTTAATAATAACCCACGAAATAATTACATCTTTTCATGCAACAAGTTATTCACTTTATTCAAAAGTGTTACAATATCGCCATACGTGAGTGCAACCCTTACATATATAAAGATCAAATGAAAATTTAACACAAAAAAAGGTCGTTTTCATTATTATTAGTAGTAAAGAGAAAATGATGTAAATTTTCATTAAATTGACAGAAGTATTTCTATAGGTATATTTTTAGAGTGATACCCGTTAATACATCTCGATTTTATTGATAACGCTTATCGTCATAGATTAAGCTGGGAAAAGAGATTGTTCTCATATAATATCTCTTTTGGTTTGAATCAATAACTTTCAAAATGTCCTCAATTAATACATATTTTAATACAAAAAAATATCCATACATGTTTGAATTTAGAGCCATTTCAAGTGATAGTTATTTAAGATTACAGCTACAGTTATTAATTCTTTACCGGTCGGCAAAAAAATGGAAGAGAAGAAAGGCAGTTCTTTAAGAACATTGCTAATTCATTACAATAAATATAACTTCAAACAAGCTAATATTTTAAAAGCAAGTATAGAAGCAGCAGCAAAGTGCAAGAATAAAAACAACAGTTATCGTTTTTGGAAAAAGTTACGCAATGTGACTGCAAATTTTCAAGCCAGTTAAAAAGCTACAAATCTTTTTATAGTTTATCAGGCGCGCGAATGACTCGTCATGACCAAACACATACGCACACAACACACATTAACAATCACTTTAAAATTGTCGTCAGTATATGTTTGCCACACATACACACACAGGCGCACGCGCCCACACACACACACACACACACACATATATACTGAGTGTCCTTACCATATACACGTAAAAGAGTGTCTATAAGTGCACGCGCTTAGCCTTCAGTGGGGAAGAACAACTTGACTCATAGCTTTTCAAAGTCATCGATTGTTGTTTCTCTTTCGTCTCTGTATGAAAATTTTGCAACTTTACGCAATACAAAATTTTTAAATAAAAACAGAAAAGACCAACGGTGGGCTAGACCGTGTAGTAGTGTATCTGAATCAAAAATTGCGCGGCATCTATGGCCGAGCGAACATCATTACGTTCCATGTTATCTCTATCCCCACCTTTTCTAAAAAATTCTTGGCAACGGAAGCAGCACAGCAGCAGCCCGCTCCCTCTTTCATTCTTTCTCTCTCTCTCTTTTCCCTCTCCTACTTGCGTATACATACGGCTTTCGCGTACGCTACATAGCCTCTACCGTTCGTGAGGTTCACTGCGCGTGTCAACGGATTCCGCAGAGCAGCAGCAGCGTCAGGCGAGCAGTGCTATATTGGCAGTGCGCGCGCGTGCAAGTGAATAGAAAAGCGAGAAAGAGAGAGAAAGAGGGCGAAATATAGAAAGAAAAGCGCCGCCGCCGCCGCAGTGTAAAAAATAAAACGCGTGAGTGTCGATTTTCATCTGCACACGCGCATGTCCTTTAATTCTCTTGAATAGCTGTATTCAAACGGGGGTTGATGCGCACAGTGATAAATGTGCAGGCAAGATGGAGAATCAAACCACCACGGGAATGGACCAATTTTGCGGAACTAAGTTTTGGGTAAGTGTCGGTCCGGATTCAAGCACCAATGCGCACACACGACCGTTAGTTTGTCGGTCTTTTTCCGTTTCCTTTTATTTTTCTTACAATTCCGTGACATCGCAGATCAGGCCGTGTTGCGTAAATCCAGAGGTTTACTAAGAATCATTTGAGAGCTAAAAAAAATATTTATAACTTATTAAAAGTTTGAAAAAAGTTGCCAATGAGGTCGATGAATTGATGTAACATTGAATGTAATCGATGGTGTTTTTTTACATGGGAAACTCTTATTTTTTATACGCCACACCGAGCAATTGATCGGCTTGCATTATTCATTGTAACTACTTCCAATGTCTTATTCAATGATAGTTGGGTTTATGTAGATTGAGTTTTCCCGTGGATATTCATTTAGCTATATATTTATCACTTATCTATGTTATGAATCTATGGTTGTGACAGTGTTTAAATTTATTAATATTAAAGCTCTCAAAGATGCATTTAATTTTGAAACTCGCGTTTGCACAAAAATAAATTATGTATTATACTTATTCATAATATTTTTATAGCAGTATTACTTGATAAAAACTATAATTAGAAAATTTGATTATCATGCTGTTGTTTGATAAAGTATACACTTCTATGTAATGCTACCTTGATTACTAAAAATATTACTCTATGTATGTATGTATATGCAATTAAGATTACAGGCTTATAATTTATATATATATACATACAGATACATACAAATTTTATTGCAATTCATTGGGAATTATTATAAATTTACTCAAAACATATTTTATACTAATTTTATTATCTTATCTACATTTTATAATACTTATTTTCTCTGTGATCAGGGGACAGCGCAAAAATTTTACTGTAGTGTTGTGAGAATTTAATCTTTGTGGGATGTTCAATCATTGTTGTGCAAGCAAATAGTGTGTGTTTATGATTGAACATAATTAACCTAAATTGATTGCTATGTATGTGTGTGTTGATCTGGAAGTTTTTCTGAGTTTATTTCCTTTCTAGTAGATTAAAATTTTTTTTTTTCAGTCTTGATTGTACTGATTAAGTTGAAAGTGTTATTATTCATAACTAAGATATTATAATAATTTATTAATTCTAAATTAATGTGAATTTTCAGGACACAAATCTCACATGGTACACAGATGACCCAGATTTAACAGAATGTTTTCAGAAAACAAGTCTCATATGGGTACCATGTATTTTTCTATGGTTGTGTACATCATTCGAGGTGTACTACTTACTCACCAGCAAAAGAAGAAATGTTCCTGTCTCATGGTTATACATCTCCAAATTTATATTGACATTAGCACTTATAGTACTTGCAATTATGGATTTAGGCAAATCAATAAGAGATAGTATATTGGAGTTACCAGTTTACAGTGTTGACTATGTTACACCTTGTATAAAAATCCTTACCTTTGTGAGTAGCTGATTATTTTCTTCTTTGAGTCAATAATTTCAAAATATGACTGTTTTAATAATCTTTACCTTATCTTGTTCCTATATTTAAGAAAAAATGTGAGTGTCAACATGATATAACTGTAGGACTCATATCTGATTGATTTAATATTTATGTGATTGGCAACTGTTTGATAAGCAATAATTAAAACTATCTAATATGAAATTATTTTATGTTTGTTTGCAGACCTTAGCACTTGCGCTATTATTTTATAATAAGAAATATGGCATGAGAACTTCAGGATTACTGTGGATGTTTTGGTTATTTCTTAGTTTGTGTGGTATAGTTCAATATAGAAGATTATTAAGAAAAAGTGATAGTGAGGTAAACATCAAATCTTAACTTATTCCTTTAATCTGTATAATTAAACTACAATAAATAATTCATAAATGTGTTTTGCAGCTTAGATTGTATTACGAATATGTATCGTATATGATATACTTTCCAATAGTGGTGCTATTGTTCCTACTTAATTTCCTAATAGATGCAGAACCAAAAGTCTCTGAATACCAACCAGTAAGTTAGCATATCGGCTTGTTTATTATTTATCATTGTGCTAAAATGACATGACATGTATGGTTTATTAATTTATAGGTAGATAAACCATGTCCAGAACAGAGTGCCTCATTTCCATCTCGTCTTATCTTTGGGTGGTTTGATTCATTAGCATGGACAGGTTTCAAACGTCCACTGGAAATTACAGACTTATGGTCAATGAATCCAGTAGATATGGCAAAAGAAATAGTACCTAAATTCGATAAATATTGGAACAAAAGTCTTAAAAAAGTTGACAAGTAAGTATTCTTATTTGTTATTACTTGAATATAGTATCAACTTGATTTGTTAGATTGAAAAACTCATAGAAAAAAAATTCTCAATCTATACATTTAAAAATCTTGTTGACTCTGATATTATATTTAAAAAGAACAAATTGTAGTTTTTTAATTAAATTAAGCAATATAATACATTGGTAATGTATTTGTTTGCTATCAAGACAATTTTGGAACAGCTGTGAGTAAATTTAAAAGTTTTGTAAAGAAGTAGATATTAGATTTAGTAAAGAATTTGTCAATATTATATTTTAAATTTAAAGATACCTTTTCTAGTGCCAAAGCCACGTTCAGAAAGTCTTCTGGGCAAATTGATATTAGCAGTAACAAAAAGAAGAAAATGGCTTCAGTATTACTACCGTTATGCAAAGCTTTTGGACCAATATTTCTCTTTGGAGTTATGTTGAAATTTGTTCAAGATATCATGGTATTTATTAGTCCACAAATTCTAAAGTGAGTATTAAATTATTTTTAATAAATAACTTTGTAAAAATTACTTTAATTAAATTTGCTAACTTTTCTTGTCAGGTTGCTCATTCAATTTGTGAAAAACGACGAACCCATTTGGAAAGGCTTTTTTTATGCTGTACTACTTTTCCTTACAGCCGTTATTCAAACATTGGTGTTATCACAATATTTTCATCGTATGTTTTTAGTCGGTCTCCGCATGCGAACTGCCCTCATAGCAGCAATTTACAGAAAGGCTTTACGTATGTCAAATTCAGCGAGAAAAGAATCCACTGTTGGAGAGATCGTTAATTTAATGTCTGTAGATGCTCAAAGATTTATGGACGTAACGGCGTACATCAATATGATTTGGTCAGCACCATTGCAGATTCTTTTGGCTTTATATTTCTTGTGGAGAATCTTGGAAGGTCCAGCGGTACTTGCCGGTTTAGCAGTGATGATTATTCTAATACCTGTGAACGCATTACTTGCTGGAAAAGTAAGAAATTTACAAATCAAACAAATGAAAAATAAAGACGAAAGAGTGAAATTGATGAATGAGGTATTGAGTGGAATCAAAGTTTTAAAGCTGTATGCTTGGGAACCGTCATTTGAAGAGCAAATTTTGAATATTAGAAACAAAGAAATCAAAGTACTTAAAGAAGCAGCCTATCTTAATGCGGGTACCAGTTTTATCTGGTCTTGTGCACCATTTCTGGTATGTCCTAATATATGTAGAATCCCACTAATTAATAAGTAATAAACATAATTGGTGTTAATAACTAAATTTTATGATTTCATTCAACAGGTGTCTTTAGTTTCATTCGCCACGTTCATTCTGATAGATGATACTCATATACTAGACAGTGAAACGGCATTCGTGTCTTTAAGTTTGTTCAACATTTTAAGATTTCCACTATCCATGTTGCCCATGATGATAAGCAATGTGGTTCAAGTAAGTCTTCCATAATTAAACTTTTTTCTTTGATTTTGTAATATTGACCTAAATGGATCTCTCTCTCTCTCTCTCTCTCTCTCTCTCTCTCTCTCTCTCTCTCTCTCTCTCTCTCTCTCTCTCTCTCTCTCTCTCTCTCTCTCTCTCTCTCTCTCTCGCCCCCCTCTATTTTTTTTGTTTTTGAAAGGCATCAGTTTCCGTGAAACGTATAAATCAATTCATGAATTCGGAAGAATTGGATCCGGACAATGTGCAGCATGATCAATCAGAAGGTAGGGTAATTGCTTTTCATTTTGTAGTAATCAACAAGATTATATAAAGTACTTACAATACTGAATACGGTTACGTTCCAGTGAATCCACTAATCATCGAAAACGGTAACTTCGCATGGGATTCGGAGAACATTGAAAAGCCCGTGTTACGAAACATCAATCTACAAATCAAGCCAGGACAATTAGTTGCTGTTGTAGGCACTGTTGGTTCTGGAAAAAGCTCTTTGATTTCAGCCATGCTCGGAGAAATGGAAAAATTGAGTGGCAGAGTTAATACAAAGGTAACGAATTGAAATTACTTTTTCATACTTATTTTTGTGACAACAAAATTTATTCTTATTTCGATAATTTCAGGGTTCCATTGCTTACGTTTCCCAACAAGCTTGGATACAAAACGCTACGCTCCAAAACAATATTCTCTTTGGCAAACCTCTTGAAAAGGCATTGTATCATCGCGTCGTCGAAGCGTGTGCTCTAACTCCAGATTTAAAAGTATTACCGGCCGGTGATCAAACTGAAATCGGTGAAAAGGGCATCAATTTGTCAGGTGGACAAAAGCAAAGAGTCTCGCTGGCGAGAGCTGTGTACAATAATTCTGATATCTATTTTCTGGATGATCCTCTCAGCGCTGTAGATTCACATGTAGGCAAACATATTTTTGAAAATCTCATAGGACCAAAAGGTCTGATGAGAAAGAAGACTAGAGTTCTTGTTACTCACGGTATCACATACTTACCTGAGGTGGACAATATCATAGTGCTAAAAGATGGACAAATTAGTGAAAGTGGCACTTATAAAGAGCTGCTTGAGAAACGTGGTGCTTTCGCAGATTTCTTGGTGCAACATTTACAAGAAGGTACGTGTTTTCTTATAAATTTTTAGTCATCTTTTCAATTTCAATTTAAATCTACTATAATCAATTTTAATAATCTAACTTAATGTATTTTTCATGGGACTAAGTTGGAAATCGTAAGTTGTTATGTAATTTTAGAATTGTCCCTTTGCGATATCATGTAACAATATTGTAAATGTTTAATTTTCCTCTTTATTCTACAGTTTAGTCGAGTTTTATTTTTCTCCTTGGACGTTGTAACTACATTAACGAATGCTATGTTTCCCTTTTTGTATTATGCTTCCGTTGTTCATAGCTACCTGTATAGATTACCCGTATAGATTGTTGTATTCCATAGTAATTTCTTAGTTTCTCAATAATTCAACGACAATTTAATTAGTTGAACTTTAGGTTTTTAAATTGTTTAATCATATAACTTTTGACCTTCGATTTTATCTAAATCGATTAGTGTATGTTATTATTCATTGGATATTTTTTTAATTTAAAAATTATTACAGTGAAATCTGAAGAAGAAGAAACTGAAGACTTGGCCGAAATTAAACAAAGACTTGAGAGTACAATTGGTAGTGAAGAATTGCAGCAGAGGATAAGTCAGGCAAGAACTAAACTTTCCGGTAGTATCAGTGAATCTGGTTCGATCGGCGACCGAAAGTCTCTCAATGGTTCACTACATAGGTAATTTATTGATTCACTTTAATTCAACAGCAAATTTATATAAATATGCGATTGCAGGCAACATTCTACCGATAGTCAACAATCGGGCAGTCCTTTGCGTAGTAATAGTACTGTGAAGGAGAAAGAACAAGCTCAGTACAAAACTGGAGAGAAACTTATTGAGACTGAAAAAGCTGAAACTGGTAGTGTAAGTATATTTTATTATTCTTTTAGTTTAATTATGCTAAGTACATTTAGAAATTTGAAGTCGATTTGAATTATGTGTACAGGTGAAATGGAAAGTCTATTCTCACTATTTGAAATCTATAGGATGGTTCTTGGCACTATCTACTATCATTATGAATGCGGTATTTCAATCATTTAGTATCGGTTCAAATATGTGGTTGAGTGAATGGTCCGACGACAAATCATTACATAATAAGTCCACTTACGATCCTTCCAAGCAAAAAATATATCTTGGTATTTATGGTGCACTTGGTTTGGGACAAGGTATGTATCCAGCTATTTTATTTTTTATTAAATCTTCGGAAAATTATTTATCAAATATATTTAAAACTATTTTCAATTAACTTCAAACAGAACTTTTTACTATCACCAGTACGACATGAAGTAGAAATTATTCAAAATTTACAAACATTTTTTTTTTAATTTTATTTATTTGTTAGCTTCTCATTATGTCAAATACTATTTTACTTTTCTAATGTTATTAAATAACTCGTGAGAACAATAAAAAATATTCGCGTATTTGTTTTTACAAAATAAACTATTAAGATATCAAATAAACCGAATAACATAATTTAAATAACATTTTTCTAACTTATAAAATCGAGTTAAAATAGTATATTATATAGATTTTATAGTATTTTCTTCTGAAATCTAAGAAGTAGAAGTTAATTGTTCACAAAATAAAATGACTAAATACTGTGTATTTGTCAATAACACTTTTATACATAAGGCTAGGGAAAGTGTGGTTTGCTGTGTCTAAAAGAATTTTAGTTATATTTGATTCTGCTTTTATTTTTACGGCATCGATATTTTGATAATGTTAAAATTATCAGTAGAAACATTAAAAATAAATTTTTTTAAGCTTAATTAATTTTTTTCATAGTTCTCATACGTTACTTTTTATTAAACATATGTTTTGATTCGTGCATGATATACCCTATTATCAGTTATGCATATGTCTGTTTTCATACCATATATAGAACACGAAGTTAGTGTACTTATCAACCCCATATTTATTCGAAATTCAATGTAATAAATCAACGCATTGACAATAATCAAATTTTCCATGTAAAAAGTTCGATTAAAAATACACTATAGAATTGTGTTATCTATACTAATCTAAAAAAATTTTAAAAGAAAAATAAATGTTGAAAAAATTAACAAAATGTCATGTAATCAATGCTTGCTTATTTAATAAATATGGTTTGTACATAAATGAACAGGCGTCGTAGAAGTATAAATTTGTTTACAATGTCGGAGCAAAAATGAAAAATTGAAAGATAATACTTTGTACAAGTTGAAAATAAATTTCAGCAACATTTGTGCTTCTTGCGCAATTGACGATGGCTATTGGCTGTCTCCGTAGCAGTAATCTACTGCATTACATGTTATTGTTTGGCATACTACGCTCTCCGATTGGATTCTTTGATACTACTCCATCAGGAAGATTATTAAATCGTTTTGGAAAAGATGTTGATGTTATTGACAACGTGTTGCCACACAACATTAAAACTTGGTTGTTTTGTCTAGTCTCGGTACGTGGGACTTTCACAGATCTCACACAAACAAATAATAAGCACTAGTTTAGTTTTCTTTACGTTTCAATATCTTACGCCAATAATAATAATAGCGACTTGACGAATTGTAAATTTCTTTTTGAGGAATTTTGATATATTTTAACGTAACCCAATTTTGCATCTTCAAAGCTACTTTCTAAAGTAATCACGATTTCAAAATTAAATAATGTAACTAAGAGCGTTTTCTTCTTAAATTAACAAAGTATCACGTTATATATATGTGGGCTGTGGTACCTATTAATAATTCCATAATCATACAATGAAATGTTGAATAAGTGGTCCACCAATAAGTACAAATAAAATATAACGAACTTCTTTAAATTTGACAAGCTATACGTTAGATTAGATTAGTGAGTTGACCATGCACATTATTATTTGTATAACGAATTACAACGGCAAATTTGTAGCTGTTTACAAAACAGCAATTAACGTTTATGTACATACATTCTTAACACTTGTTCGTTACTAACCGAATCATTCACGCCAATAAATTGCACTCAGTAGTGTAGAATTAATATGGCCAGTGCACAGCGCAATATTCGCGAAAGTGAAATTTATTAAAATTCCCCTAGATCTTATTTTTTTAAATGTCACAATTTTTTTAAATATATTTCATAGCTTTAATAGCAATCATTATGCGCTATTTCATCATTCAATTCATTAGAATTGAAGTTGGCCTCATAACTTTAGTTGACTGTGTATGATTTCTAGGCTTGGCCAACCTTCTAACATCATTAGCCCTGGCAATTGGATCGGTAATTGCTTCCAAAGTAATTTTTGAAAATGTCATAAGAAACATTCTTCGCAATCCGATGTCATTTTTTGACACCACTCCTAATGGTCGTATACTCAATCGACTCGGTAAAGACGTTGATACTGTTGATAATATATTACCTGCTATTCTGAGGATGTGGATGACTTGTTGTTTCTCGGTAATTAATTGTTTTCAAATAAATCTAATGTTTTTGTTACAAAACAAAGATGCACAACAAATGTTTTTTTACAAATTCATTTGTCCGACACATATGCTATCATAAATTTGTTATTGCATCCGGAAAACATTTACTAACCAAATCAAGTGAAATCATTCCATGATTTAAGATACTCATACGTATTATTTGACAACTAGAGAGTAAAGGAAAAAAATTGAATTCATTTTTCAAATGCTATATCTGTCAATTTTAAGCTGTGTAGAACCAAAAATCTGCAGTATAGATAATCCTAATTATTTCCGTATTTTACATAAACGATTGACGCAGAACCATCCATACGTAGACATTATGTTACGTTATGAAAAGCAACGTATGAAAATAAGTGCCTGGTAGAAATAGTGAGTTGTAAAACGTCCAAGGTGGAAGTGTAACTTTTTGTGTATGTGATGTATAGTCTTTGTTTAATCCTGTCTGTTCATTTATGATGAAAATGAAAAAGTAAAAATACATCGAATCTGAAAACAGTAACATATGGTACGATAGAGTTTGTCCGAGTACACGAAAAATCATAACATTTTAGCCCGAAGTTTCTTGAGTTCAGTTGTTTAGCTTCTTAAATAAATCTGAGAATGACGATGCGCTCATGAAAATGAACAAGTGTCATTGTGAAAATGAAAAGCTGTGTACGCGTGCGAAGGAGAGGTGATGAGTGAATAGTGAGAAAAGTAAGTGTTGTGTTGCAGTATTGAGCGTAATATGCACGTCGTTGAGCGTACAGCTCGGCACACTACGCTCGTCCAGCGTCATGTTTCGTGAGACATTACACAACACATTGCGCGGCCCCATGTCCCTGTTCGACACGGTGCCGATCGGCCGTATTCTCAGTCGCTTCGGCGCCGATATTGATACCATGGATAACAAGCTTCCGATGTCGCTTATGCAGTGCCTATCGTGTTTGTTTAGGGTAAGCAGTATAAGCTTCCTCTTCGCGATTCTCTTTCTCTCGCTCTCATTCTCAACACCTGTTTTACAATTTAAGCTTCTAGTTATTACAATTAAGTTATATTAATAAGCTTATGTGTCAATAACTTGTAAAGATGCATCCATGTCTTGTGCTTTTAAATTTGCTCCCATTTTACTTCTATTGGGCATTGAAAAGTGGAATCGATTCGAGCTTCCGGATACCTGGACTGTTATATACATATCAACGGCATAAAGCAATTATACTTAGATTTCATTATCTGATATTCTGCCGATCTTCTTTATTGTAATGACTATTTGGATCCCATCTATCAACTGTTTAGCTTTCTAATAATTAACACGGTTTTTTAAATCTGTACTTCAGTGCTTGTTAAGATTATTAAATAAGTGAGCAAATTGAACAATAGCTCGATGACATCTTGGGTCGTATAAAGTAACTTTTTTTAAGTTGACGTCAATAACTAACTAGCATTCTTTGGGATTTTTTGATCAATCATTACAGAAAAATAGCGAAAAAATCGTTATTTTTGGTCAACGGGTACAATTTTAGGGTAAAATAATGGAAACAATCTTTTTTTTCATAAAATTTGTAAAGACTGAATGATGATGTTTGTTTTTTTCAGTAAAAAGGAATTATACTGAAATAATGCATGCAACAACTATTAAAATAAAATAAAATCCGTCCAAAAGACAATGTTCATTTTAACGAATAAAGTAGCCGATAACTTTAATAAGATAAAGAATTTTGTTTCCATTAATGACAAATGTCACCAATGCTTCACTATATTTTTAATTTTCTAAAAAATAAAGTTGATTTCTTTACTTTCACTTGAAATTCTAATTGTTGACAATAATATAACACCTTTTTTTGATATTTTCTGGTGATAAAGTGATTAAAAAAAACATATAATACTTTCATAATTTTTTTTTCAATGACTTATAATAAAATTACTTACAGTCCCTAGAAAAATTTTATATTCTATTTTAACTCAATAAAATCGAAAATTCTAAAGCAAAATAAAAAATGTGTAATTAGTGGAAATAAAACAAGAGAGAAAGCATTTTCGAACAAGAGGCATATTAAAATGTATATCTGATTGTGATAAATGAAAGAAAAAAATTCTTCGGAATCAATTAAGGACACAATTATACAACTAACTTTATAAGAATTCATAATTGAGTAGAAAATATGTGCTTGTGCTTAGAAATATATACCCCTTTATTAATACACTTTGCTTGCTGCCAATTATCATTCATTTTCATCTAATCATTTTGCCTTGCCACTATACTCATATGTTATACAAATACCGACAAAACATATCGTTCGCTATTTCAGTGTTTCACTTTGAATATCAGTGTATTAGCAATACTATTTTACTAGCAAATAATTTTAAGCATTCCAGCAAACGTGTTTTGGAACTCTAAAAGTTTAAAGTTCACAATCATGTTTTAAAAAATGATGTTTTTTTTTTTGGTTTTATTATTTTTGTTTTTATTTTTTTACTTTCATCTTTTTTTTCTACTTTTGAATAAATATCAAATACAAATGCTATACTACTTTCATTGTAAATGTCAACATTTCTGTTATCCAATGAACTCTATTATCTCTCACAACTTTTCTTTTACTGCTTTTCTTCTGTCACCAGTTTAAAAGTAGCATGCCACAGCAAACTTCACCCCCTTGCAGTACACAAACCAATGCGCGGAATTGATTATATTTACAAGCAAATAAACGGTTATGGGAAAAAATAGAAAATTAAATTATTAAGATAACGTGTTTAAGAATTGCATGCATTTATAAATAAGGACAGGCTCAATTTAGCTTTTTTATACATACATACATGCATACATATATACATGTGTGCGTGTGCGTATGTATGTGTGTGTGTGGCTCCGCTCACTTGTTCGCTTACTTGACTCCTACACTAAACGCAAATTGGGTATTTCACTCATGCAGCTTGATTACAATGAAAACAGGTGCACGATGTAAAATCGAAATGAATGGTGTAATGGTATTTAGATAGGCTCGCGAAAGGAAAGAGAAACGAAGTTAAAAAAATATGAAACAGTAGAGAAAAAGTAACAGGGACAATGGGCAAGAGAGGCGAAGAGCCGCGCGACACGCACGAACTGTGTGTGGTGTGTGTGTGTGTGCATTGAGATGTTGTAGCGATCTTTATATATTATATTAGGTTTGGCGAGCTTTTTCTGTGATTTGGCTCCGCAGCTGGGCTGTTGGCTGGCCGCACGTCAGATGCACATCATCATGCTGCGCGGAGTGCTGCGCGCTCCGCTCACCTTTTTTGACACGACACCCATCGGTCGTATTATCTCCAGGTTCGCTAAGGACGTCGATGTCCTGGACGTGTCGCTTCCCCAACAAATTTCCGATAGCATCTATTGTACGTTCGAGGTAATTCTCAACATCAATCATTCCAAGTCTTCATCGGCTTTTTTTCTTTCGTTCCAATCAAAGCGACGACCATGACTATATTACCGATAGATTCTCGAAATTTGAATGGTACTTTTCTTTCTTCCCCCCTTGTTTATTTGTTTTTCTGGCCAATTTTATGTTAATTTTTTTATTGTGATAGGATAAAGATGGTGTCATTAATTTTTCAAGTAAAATTTTTCATTATTTTTCCACACTAACTTGTTTCTATCACACATCATTGGTAAGTTAATTATCAAAGTCTAAACTGTTATACTTCATCGAAATTTTTATCGTTTATTTCGATTTTCATCAATAATTATGATTTGATCAACATCTGCGTCTTAGACATTTATTCAAATCAATAATCACACATACATAATCCTAATCAAACGTACAAGTAAAAACGCTAATTTTGTTAATCGCGTGTAAGACTGCAACTATATTTTAACTTGTGATTATACTTTAAATGTTTTATCAACAGTTCTTTGGCACTTTATGTAAATTTTATCTGCACGTTTACATAAATATTTTGATCAAACAAATAGTCAATGATTCTGTGTTACATAATTATTTTTGTGTCGTACAGCGTTATAGAAAACAAAGACAAATTAGAAATTGTATAATTGTGTCCACCATATTGGTTTTCTTTGTGTGTATTTATATATCAAGCAGTATTTTTATAAAGCTTTTGAAGGTGTGTGTGTATATGTATATATATATTACAATACCAAAAAAAATTTATTCCTTACGACAAGCACTGACTGTAAAAAAACGTACATGTTGGTGGGCCGGAAAAATACATATCTTTGGTAAATTTATGTTGTATACTTTTTTGGATCATTTATCATTATATCATCCATGTATATTTTCACATACATATAATTATAAATCACAAGCATGGTGTTTACTTTCAAGTTGCTTTGAGGCTTATTTCAGTCGGTCTATTTAAGGAAATATTAATTGCGAGGAAGTATTCTTAGACGAAAAAAAACTTTGAGAGCGTTGTCTTTTCGAGCTGTGTGTAAAATGACACGCTTTACTTGACGTATCAGTCAAGAATCCGCATTTTTTTCCATTTGATAATGAATGCTCAGCTCAGCACGAAAAGCAAACACTCTCGTTGTTATCACTGCATTACATATATCACATAAATCACAATTTGTAATTCTCTCTGAGTTAATTCAATATCGTAAAAATCATGCGTCTTTAAGCTGATGTATTTATGGTATGATGATTTTTACGACATTGCAACTCGATTACTCATTTTTCCTTCGTGTTATTCATATTAAGGGTACGAATGTCAATTTCATATACTTTTAGAGTGGTATCAAATCTTTGATTTATATATTACCTATGCATGCGAGACTTAAAAGATTCGTTCATTTAGTTGGCATTCGAATCCTTTTAAAACGAGACTTCGCTTCTAATATATTAGTTTCTACACCTCTACAAACACATTTTGATTTATACGCTTTCAAAAATTTTCAAAGCTTGAAAAGCAAAAAAATGGTTGGGAGAACAAAATAATTTTTTTATTTATGTTCTTAAGTTTTCCTTTACTTTTTGGTTGTAAAGCACGTTGAGTGATTTGACAGAGCACTTGTTTCGCGCCGAACGATTGACATAAATTTGTTGTCACCATTTCTTCCGTAATTGTGGAAGATGATTGGAGAGCAGTGTTGAAGCAAACTTTGTGTTACAGGTGATCGCTACCCTCTTCGTCATCAGTTACAGTACACCGATTTTCATAGCCGTAATTGTACCGATTGGCGTGATTTATTACTTTATCCAGCGATTCTATGTCGCTACCTCACGGCAGCTCAAGCGATTGGAGTCGGTGTCTAGGTCGCCGATTTATTCGCATTTCGGCGAATCGGTCACCGGTGCTCAAACCATTCGGGCTTATGGCGTCGAAGACAGGTTTATCAAGGAATCTGAGAACAGAGTTGACTTCAATCAAGTTTGCTACTATCCTAGTATCATTTCTAACAGGTATACTAAACAATTTTTTGCTATTGAATGGCATATTGATATACGTAAATCTTTTCAAACATTTTTCAACTATAAATTAAGATAGATTTGAACTCAATTCCAAGACTTGAATTCGAATTTGATTCGAAGTTCGAAGCTCAGTTGTTCGTTCAATAAAAATCATAAATAATACATAATTTTTTTACTATATTGTCAACAACAGGTGGCTCGCAGTGCGTTTGGAAATGGTAGGAAATTTAATCATTTTATTTGCTGCACTGTTCGCCGTTCTTGGTAAGGAAACAATGAACGCTGGCCTTGTTGGCTTGTCCATTAGTTACGCGTTACAGGTGAGAAATCAGCTTGTCTCTAGAGTTAGCCGAAAAACATTTTAAACATCTATTCGTCGTTAAAATTAATTGCAGATCACGCAAACGTTGAATTGGCTTGTGCGGATGACATCGGATGTAGAAACGAATATCGTAGCAGTCGAAAGAATAAAAGAGTACGGTGAAACTCCTCAAGAAGCATCATGGGATATACCGGAAACGGATCCATCAAAGGAATGGCCATCGCGCGGTAGCGTTGAGTTCCGCGATTACAAAGTTCGCTACAGAGAAGGTTTGGATCTCGTGCTAAACGGTCTCAGTTTCAATGTCACTGGGGGCGAGAAAATCGGTATCGTCGGTCGAACTGGCGCCGGCAAATCTTCACTTACTCTTGCTCTATTCCGAATTATCGAGGCTGCCGCCGGCAAGATTCTCATTGACAATGTCGAAATCTCCAAGCTAGGATTGCACACACTTAGATCAAGATTGACCATCATACCCCAAGACCCAGTGTTGTTCTCTGGCACTCTGAGAATAAATTTGGATCCGTTCAAGAACAGCTCTGATGACGATCTTTGGAGGGCACTTGCTCATGCTCATCTGAAAGACTTTGTTAAATGTCAGATTCTTCTTTTTCAATATGCAAATCTTAAATACTAAGTATAGGAATTTCAATTGGAAATTTGTTATTTTTACAGCTTTGCCAAACGGTTTGGAACACGAGGTGACCGAGGGAGGAGACAACTTGAGCGTTGGGCAAAGGCAGCTAATATGTTTAGCAAGAGCTCTTTTAAGGAAAACTAAAGTTCTGATTTTGGATGAGGCGACAGCTGCTGTTGATCTTGAAACTGATGACCTCATTCAAAGAACAATCCGAGAAGAATTTAAAGAGTGTACAGTGCTTACTATAGCCCACAGACTTAATACCATCCTTGATTCAGACAGGTAAATTTTTATTTTTTCTATTAAATTTTATTAGACCTCATTTTTAGTAAAGTTTAAAACAAACCATGCAAATGTTTTTATTTTCAGGGTCATTGTCCTAGATAAAGGTTCAATCGTTGAATTCGATGCACCAAATATCCTTCTTCAGAAACCTGAAAGCTTTTTCTACAGTATGGCCAAAGACGCTGGGTTAACATTATCGTGAGGTGCACTAGTAGATTTTGTCAATTAACGAATTTACAATCTTGCCTATGAGCTTTGGTCGTAACAATGATCTATCTTATAATAACCGTAGTTTAGAACCATATAATTTTCAGAAACAAAAACAATCGAATTATTATAATAGGTATTTGCAAAAAATTTGCAATCAACGAACCTTGTGCTTGCGTATATGTGTTGGTTATAAACAAGTTTTAGGAAATATTTTTTGCATCTCATTTAAACGGTGTTTCCAACAAAAATTACTTATAATCTATATACCTATGTAAATTAAGTCATTTTTACTACTGCCAATTTTATCAAGTTGTCGTATTATTGTTATCAATTTAATTCGGTACATTGGATATTTTTGAGTATCCATCAGAACTATTATCACAATTTATGGTACTAAGAACAAAACTGCATTACGTTTTCCTCGTGTTTTTATTATTCAATTCTACCAATGCAATGTTAAGATTATATTATTTCTTAATTACACGTTAAGAAGACAGTTTTTAATTTGATATAATTACGTAAGACGTGTTCATTTTTGAGTTATATAATACTTTTCTTGATTGCTGGAACATAAAATCTATAATACAAATTTACAGTAATAGTATTATATTTTTGCACTAATCTCTTAAATACTAATAGTTCGTAAAATTTACTACACAATACTAATTAAGATTTATTGTAGTTAATTAGTTACTTGTATTTTATACTCAAATTGCTAAGCGAAAAAAAACAGATATTTTTCATACTACTAATATTGGGCCTAAAACTAAGTACTTAAGTTATTATACTTGATTTTTCTACAAAAACTTACATGAAATTGTAAAAAAATATGCTATCTTAGGTTTAGTTAATCATAAACAAATAACTAAGAAATTATTTGTCATGTCACACAAGTGACCGTTTTTTTCACTTATTACTTGTTCACTTTTTGTCTCAATTAACGCAGAAGTTTACTTATACATTGAAAAAAGTTCGCCAGTTTACTTACTTTCGACCAACAATTACTTAATATTAATGATACGTTTTTTTAAAACAATACCGATAATTTATCATAGATGAAATGGTTATTTTTGCGTTATACATCTATTTAATAACAACAGAAATCGAAAAACTTTGTAAACTTCAGATTACAAAAAATAGCATTTCAAAAAAAGGATCTTTTAATGCGTGCCTATATTGGCTTGGTATTGACATTTATCCAGGGTTTTATCGATGGTTCAACAAACCTTGTATAGTTTAACAAAATAATAAGAAATTGTTATGAAAAAATGTGTTAACTTTGTCCGCAGTTATTGAATAGCACGTTTAGTACCGACTGTAAAATCCTGTGTTGTACATATCTCTGTTCGTTAATTAATAAAGAAAGTTTAAACTCTGAAAGTTCATAAAGATAAATAGAACAATAAAATTTTCAGCTAGAGTGAGATCAAATCAAAGCAATCTTAATAAAAGCTGCTATAAAACTTAGAGAGAAAGTTGTTAAAATATCAAATCAATTAACAATTAATATAAAAAATGAATTTTTGTAAATAAATGCTTCCAAGTTTGAACTTTAGTTTAGCAAGTCAGTTAGTTCTCTAATATTTTACTACGTACTGTAAAATAGTTAATATCTTATTTTCTTCAGTAATAAAAAAGCAACGTAAGCGAGCGTATTGACCATCGTAATACCGAAAATGAACATACAAAGAGATTTATAAAATCAGGTGCATAAAAAAATTGCAGCATGATGCGTATGTATGGGATAAGTGCCTTTTTGTAAGAATGATATACGAGTGCTAAATGTTTCTGGTATCTTTTAGGTGCTGTGCATGTGTACATTAAAACAAAAATAAAGAATTATAAGAAAGCTTCAACAGTAGTAACAATATTAAGAAATAACTAGGAAACCCTTGTCATTTTTATTTCATAATACTCGAATTTTTAACTTGAACCAACATTCCTTAATATGTAATCATTTAATATCATTTTCCACAGCTTTATACTAAACAGAAAAAATGTTCTAATGCTTGACAAATCTGTATAGTTTTATTTTGAACAAAAGCTTTTAACGATAAATGTAAAAAATCTTCTAAAATGACTAAGATTTAATAAATTAACTTTTTTTTTAGAATATTCTGTTTTGCATTAAATTCATTAAATATAATTCATGTAAAATAAATACATATATTTATTACTTTTAAAACAATGCAAATAAACTAAAATTTTTAAATTAACTTTTTTGAATTATTAGAACAGACCTTATTCCTATAATTTTACGCTGTCATTGGTCCAGACATTGATTCGCGATTCGTCAAGTTCCAAGTCCAAATTATTTTCGATAATTGAGCTTTGATAACATCAAATGCAATTTTTCTAGTAAGATGCAGGTTGCAAAGGCACAATTTGCCAAAATGAGCCCTTTGTGACCTCACTTCGTTTGGTGTCATCGATGCTTAGTTATCGAAATTAACTCGGATTTTGAGCTTCGCGCATCGCGAAGTAATAGGTCACGTGAGCACACGAGAACCAATAAGAGCAAAGCTTCATCCCGCCCAATCACTTTCAATTGTTATGGCTTTGAGTGTCGGTTATTCCTCGATCGTGACGAATAGGTTTTTTAGTCTTTCGATCGAAATTAAAAAATCCCGTTTAATTTTAGCATATTTCTACAAATTAATGTCATTTCAAGCATCTAAATGTTTTCGTTGAAGTTTTTCTGTTCTGATTCATTGATTTAGTTAATTTTAATTATTAGTTATTTTACTTAGTGCCAGATCTTTGACGTGTCTGTCAAGAAGAAATTTTTCATTTCCGATTTATTTAGACTATTGAAAATGTCAGGAATATTCAACATATTCAGTGAGTCAGAAAATAGATCATCGGTGTCCATTCATAAAGGTAAACAGGAGTATAACAACAATCTACAAAAAAAAATAAGAGTTCTATTGAATACCAAAATGTTGTTTACGTTTGATTTTGCGTTCAAAAAATCCGTTACGATTACATCATTTTTAAAAGCTTCCTACTGTAGATGAGGAATTAAATATTTATTACATTATAATATATAAAAAATATTTACACTATAACATCGTGTTTCACCATGCAAGTCATATTCATTGTTTTAGTTGTATTTTTAATTCATAAAATTATGTAATATGAAGTGACATTGTAATAGCATTATAAATTCAGTTTTTCTTATATATAGGAAAAGAAACATCACTTCCGCTTGGTTCATTAAAATTAAAGACAAACGAAAACACAGGCCTTTTGCCAACTAAAAATGCTTTGTACATTCAGTTGAAACCGAAAGGATTGTCGGTACGCTCCAAATCAGATCTAAATGTTGCTGCTGTTTCAAATAACTCTAACAGCAAAAAATTGCATCCTAAAGATTGTATAGCCTTCAAATCATGTATTCCTGAAAAAAAAACTATTTCACCCTTGAAGGTGAAAACTCCAAAGGTATGATTATTATAAAAAGAATGTTAACTTTTTAATTAGAAGAATAAAAATGTCTATTTTCATTCATTTAGAGTAAATCACTTACAAATATTACTCCAAAAAAATTATCACCAAAAATGTTCACTTCAAAAATACTATCACCAAAAATATCGTCTTCAATTCAACAGACTGTTGTAGGTGAGTTAACTGTTTTCAAGAAACCAGCAACACCAAAGCAAAACTTAAGTAAATATCCTGAACCTGAATATTTGGCTTGTCACATTGATGAATATCAATTCATGAGTAAGTTTATGTTTTTCATAGCTCTTCTGACTTAAAATTATTGAATTGTTGAACATTTCTAATTACATCTGATTATGATTGTTTAGATGAAGAAGTAGAGCAAATTTTCAATGATGATCGCAAATTTCTCAAGTCTGTATTGAAGCACAATAATACAACAGTGTCTCTGGAAGATGAAGGATTTATCTCAGGTAACAATCAAATTATTTTGTACAAGGCTATTGTAACTTGAATATTTACAATAATAATAATAATAATTTTTTCTTTAACCAGATTCTTCTCATGACTCATTTGATGTTTCAATTGGCTTATCTTCTCCAGAGATATCTTGTAATAATGTTGAACTTCCAGAGATTTCAGATTGTGAAGATTAAATTTAAAAATTTAACTTTATTGTTAATATTTTGAAATAAGCAAGTGATTGTAAATTACTCTTTAGACCATCTGTTAATTTAAATAGATACTGTTTAATTTAAAGGTGATTGGTATTGGTTTTGGATTCACCATCACGTACATGACATGTTTGTAATAATTTTATTTAATAATTGAATTTGGATCGAAAATAATTTAACATTATATATGAATCTTTCATAATTATATCTTTATCATCATGCAGTTTTATGTCAAAAATTGTAAATTATTTAATGAATATAACTCAACAGAAAATATGTATTTTTAGTGCTTAAATCTGTACGTAAGTAAATATCACTGTGATCTATAGTTATATATAAAAATAAAATGTGTAATAACTTTGTAAACAAAGCTGAAAAATAAATGAGCATAAGTTTTTTTAATTAACCAACTTCAAATATTTTTTCAACTAAACATGATACACCAGTTAACTTTATATATCCACTTCTTTTAGGATTATCATGTATTTGAACAAAGTAGTTACTGTTGTAGCTGGTTGCACAAAAAGTCGTGATTTTAATTATGCATGTTACATAACTGATAATTTATCCGAACTTTTGCCAAATTTTTCTGTTCATAAAATTGGAATACTGTTAACTGATTGGGAGGTAATTACTTTAAGATTAAACTGTATTTTATATTTAAGGATATTTACAAAAGACAAAATTTTAATAGACTTGGTTAGCAGACAAATGCCAAAATCATAAATGGTCACATACTTCTTCACCTTTGATATGGAGAGAAATAGGAGTATGTGGTGGAAGTTGCACTTATATTGGTGGACTTGAAGAATATAAAAATTTCATTCAACATTATTATGGTATAAATCCTGTGCTCTCAACATTGGACGAAAAAGTTCTGGATTTAAACCCATCATTAGTAATCTATGTTTATTTCAATGATTTTAATTGTATGAAATTGAATACTATGAGAAATTGTTATTTATTTTTGGCATAAAGTATGAGTTAAATGAAAGTAAGAACAATATTCTAAGAATTACAATCTATGGTGCTGGTAGATCTGTATGTCCAGATTTAGTTGCACAATTGGCCACTATAAAAGAAATAAATGAAGATGGTGTATCTATTCAATTACATGACAAAGCAGGACATTATTTCAAAATTAATGATATTATAGAAGATGCAGTAGCTATAGGTGGTGAATTACGTTCAATCAGAAATATTGAAAATCTATCTGATGGACTGAAAAATTGTAATGTTCTTATTGTCTTGGATTTAACACTCAGGTTTATATAATTTATTATATTTGAATGAATATTGAATAATTGCTAGATTTTTCGATTTTTCCAAACTTTAGAGAAGATCAAGACTCAATAAATGATTGGTTAAAAGAAAATTACAAATGTACAAAGAATGTAGCAGAACAAATTAATGTTCATGCACCTGCAGATATGAAAGTAATTTTTTGTTCGACTGGACCAGCATGTTTTTGTGCAAATGTCATGATGAAAGAAGCAACAAAGTTAAATAAAAATAACATTGTTGTTGTTAGTGCACACTGGGGTTTAGAAATGATATATGAGTTTACAAAATCCATTAATGTTAGTATCAAAGAATTTGGATGTCCTCCAATTTGGGGATTCTTAGGTTTGATATAAAGCTATTAACCGATAATATTACAGTTATTCATTGAATTTTATCTTGAATAGGTGTTAACTACTATGTTGATATGAGTCACACTTTACAAAGATGCAGTGTTTATGTACCAAATAAAAGAGCATTGAATTCATACAATAGTTCAAGTCTTTCTCTTGGAATAAAATATGAAGAAAATAGATGGTTTTCTTATTTGACTTTTGATAAGAAACCTCATGAAATACTTTCAAATAGAAAGGTGGTGTATTCAAAATGAAATATAAACTTCTTAATTTATTTTCAATTTGTTTTTTCAGGCAGTATGTTTATATCAAGTAGGTCGCACAGAAGATTTTCAAAAATGTAAAGCAATTTGTGATCTTTTGAAACTTTGGTATCAAAAAGATGTTTCATTGATTGGTGACGAAATTATTACTTTAGGAGTTGCATCAAATGGTTATAAACTTTGCTACATTAATTCGGCATTTCCATAACACATGATTTATTGTTCCAGGAACATTTCATTTCCCAGAAAATTTATTTTTCTCACAACCTGTGTATTTAAAAGTGCAAGCTGATAATTCTCGCGTGTGGGTTCCTTATTCTGAATTTCCTTTGCCAGCAGACATGAAAGCAATTTTACAAAATTTCATTGATACTGCAATAAATATTTTGCAAACTATGAATTTATTTGATGGCAAATTTAGTGTAGATTTGAAATTTCCGCGTAAAGCGTCAGTCATAAATAAAGTAAAATGATCCTAACCTATGTGATACTTATCTCTTAAGTTTTGTTTACAACTTATGTAGTGATCAACGTAAACGTTTGATATGGATTTTATAATAAATTATCAATTATAAATAAATTAACACTTAAACAAAACTTAAAAATTGCAATTTGGCTTCTTTGCTGAAGTTTTGATATTTAATTTAATAAAAATGGAAAGTGAAGACATAGAAATCGATCCAGAACTTGCAAAACGTTTGTTAGTTGAAGGAGGCACTTTAGTTCTTCTTGATATACCAACAGGAACTGAAATTGGTATGGACATTAAATCATGGAACAGTGGTGAAAATTTCAAGGGAATAAAAATGATTCCTCCAGGATTTCATTTTATTCATTACAGGTTAACGTTTTAGCAGACGAAAAGGTTTCAAATTCTAAACATTAAGTTTTAATTATCACATTTTTAGCGCTATAGATGAATATGGGGAATCAGCTCCAAGAATTGGATTTTTTCATTTTTTTAAAAGATCAGAGTTTGTTGTTAAGCGATGGGATCTAAAACTCGAAGATCTTAGTCGTGAATGTATGTTTTTTTTATTAAAGACTGCAAACAATTTGTGGTATATCATTGATAGTTTCTACTACATAATCCATTAAAAATCATTCATATCAATTTGAAGCTGCTCCTCCAGGAACTATTGAAACTCTGAAGTGTAATCTAAAGGAGCTGGATAGATTCTTAGGACCATATCCTTACGATATTTGGAATAGTTGGAAAGATCTTACAAATAAAATTGATGTATCTATAGTAGAGAGATGCAAACCTGAATGTGGGTCGGTAGGAAAAAAACATGTTACTCCATATTTATTAGTACAAAATTTAAATTATTTCATCAAGCAATAAACATTGTTTACAGGTTTGTGCAATCTGCATTAGAGTTAGTCAATTGTGACAATGCATCAAGACCAAAAGGTGGCGAAACAAGCAGAAAACGAAAAAGGGGAGCTGGTCTTACACTTGAAGAAAAAGAAAAAAATTTATTGCCAGATTTAAAACCAAAAGCAGGCACTGAATTAAGGTTGACTCCATTACCTAATAAATTTTATCCTGATGATGCTACACCAGCAGATATTACAAGACATTCATTGGATACTAGTTATGCAGTTGATATATTATTCTGTCAATTAAAAGAGTAAGGACTTTATTTTAAAATGTTATTAATAAATACAGTCTATTATTACTTTTCATTTTTCAGCCCTATAGAAATAATTGGTGAAATGCAGCTAGCATTTGTATGTTTCTTAGCTGGTCAAAGTTTAGAAGCATTTGAACATTGGAAAGGACTTGTGTCATTGATATGTAAAGCAGATTCATTAATATCAAAGAGAAGAAATGTATTTTTTGAGTTCTTGAAAGTATTAGAAGTTCAGCTAGCATTCGTACCAGAAGATGTACTTTGTGATATTGTAGCCAGTAATAATTTTGTTTATCATAATTTGCGCATATTGTTTGCTAATATCGAATTGAACTCGGATATTGACGATCGTCTGAAATCGTATGCAAATAGAATGAAAGAGAGATTGACTGCTAAGTTTTTGTGGGATTTCAAAAATTTGCAAGAAGAAGAAGACGACGAAGCGCCTGTGGTAGTCTCGTTACAAGACGACTAACAAGGAATCATATCTTTTTATGTGAAAAAAATAATACGTTCTGAGTAAACAATTTTTTTAATTTCATGTTATAATTAATTAAAAGAATAAATTAACATTTTTATCATAAACAGTTAAAATTGTTATATCAAAAAGTACCTATCATTTACAGATAAAATATGGAAGATACATTTTCACCTTGTATAAAAAATGGTAATTATCTAAAAATGTAAAAAATATTTATGTGGATTATAAAACAAAAAATGTTTCCGCCCGGGATCGAACCGGGGACCTTCCGCGTGTTAGGCGGATGTGATAACCACTACACCACGGAAACCCGTAAAATCTAAAGTTGTTATTCACTTCTAACCTAACGAAGTCAAGTCATGAAGTCATGAGCTATAGTAATCCAATGAAACGTATGTTATTCAGCCTAGTTTACATGCAGTTATGTTAATTTATATCCATATTTTTAAGAGATTCAAATTCTTATGTAAAAATATATATAAACTGTTTTTATATCACTTATGTTTATTCTAAATTTAAATAAGCAATAATATATAACTATTCGTGTAAATATTATATTACTTTGCATTTACAGATTAAAAACAGTTATTCAAATGAACGAATTGTTTAATTTATTAAATAACAAATAGCCGATATATAAAATATATATTTTTATACATATGAACGCAGTTTCAGTACATATGTCAGAATATTCACTCATATTCATGACGATTTTTTTCGTTCTACTCTAAATGCAAACTAATCTGCTAACATAAATTGCAAAAATTTGGAATTCATAAATAAAGGCATCCGTTTTTTAGGTGCTGTAAGTAAAATATATAAATATAGAATATAAATAAATAGTGAAATATAAGAAAAGCTTATTTTTGTTCGATTTATTCTAAGATACACTTACATGGGGTCATCATTACTGCACCAGGCATTTCTTTGTCTGGAGATTTTGGTTTTTTCTTCATATTTGCTTTCGTTAAGAGTTTTACAGTGCACGTGCCCATTGCTGAGTGAGAATCCTTAAAAATGCATAAACTTTGGTTAAATGCTTACGTATCGTTTTACAATTACGGTCAATATCGTGCAAGATGATTTATTTGATTGCGTTATTTATTAGCATTTATTAAAAAAATGAAAAAATTAGTATTCCGTCAAACAAAACAATTATACAATATTTTTAGAAAATTAATCATAATCTGCAAATTTCGTGAATATAAAAATAGGTTTACCTTGGTTTCACGTTTTACTCTCTGTCAAAAATAAATATCACCTATTACATTTCTAAATTAAGTGTAGTTTACTCTAGTATGGAAAAAATATTTTTTTGCATAGTTGACTTACGGGTCGAGGAGGTCGATGAGGTATAGGAGGTCTAGGTCGTTGCTGTGAGAGTGTTAAATTGTCAAGTCGATTATTCAAAAAGTATACAAAAATAAGTAAGTACGAATTTATACAGATTGTACCGGGGTCTCGGGTTTCGGGCGATGACGTCGAGCTGAAATTAACGTTATGCACACCATCAAAATTAGAAAGAGTAGTATAATTTTCATTTTTCACTGACTAAATCTAGGAACTTGTTATAATCGTACAAACGACCGTCCAGAAGCGACTAGTTCGTTTATGCGACATGAACTCGTTTTATAGACTGCTTCATTAAAACTTACCAATAATAAAAAAAAATAAATGTCTTCTACATGTAATTATTCCTGATTATGCAGATCAATTTATTTGATTCTAAGCTTTTTCAAAAGTAAACGACTTTTACTTGCATCGGCGTAATCGCCAATTAGTTCGGGCGCATCATTAACTACTGCAGTAGAATTACGGTTAAAAGATTCGCGTCTAACGTCGATTTCAATTTAAAAGTGAAGTATGTTTTAAAGCATACCATCAGAAAGCATTTATCAATTATTCGCCACATCGAAATTGATAAAGAGAAAGTTTATCCATAATTACGCAGTGAATTCCGAAAAACGTTAGAATAACTTGAAACTGATGCGATAACATGTTTTATTCAACAAAATTACATGAGAAATGCAGTGTCCTCTTGGCAACAATTCGTAAGCCCCGACATGAACGAAAGCTCTTGAGTCTCCTTGCGCTTCTGATTGCGTAAAGCAAACTACAATGCTTCGCATGTTCAAGCGCTTGCAGGCGTGGAAGCGGCCGCCGGAAGGGTAGAAGTGGCAGCGACAACAGTAGAGGAAGGAGCTGCAGTAACGGTCGTAGCAGCGCTCGTGGCAACACTCCCAACAGTAGCGATTCCAGCCGCGGCGGCTAATATTTCATTGTTCAGCCTGTCCTCGACGCACTTGTCGACCGCTTCGTTTGTTTTCTCGACGGCCTTGTCGTCGATGCAAGCCCTTGTCACATTGAACACGTGTTTCAGCTCGCGCAGCTTGGGCTCGTTCGCTTTGTCGTCTTTACTCTTGCTCCACTCGACAGCCTCCATCGTTTGCTTGTAGTTCATGGGATTGTTGTACAGGTTGAGGCGGCGTAGCGACGCGGGAAGTTGTTTGACGAAGTCAGCGGGCACGGAGACCAACTCGTTGCCGCGGAGATCTAAATTGATCAGCGCTGGAACTAGTTTTAAGAAGGCGATTTCGACGCTTTGGATACGGTTAAATGCCAGGTTGAGCTCCAAAAGCTTCGAGCTATCTTTGAACCAGACCGACTTGATGCTAGTAAGCTCGTTTTGCGGAAGGATCAGACCCTTTAATTCTTTCAGCCCTGAAATACAATCGATCTTTTATTGGGTGTTTCAACGTTAATCAGTGCGCAGTTTTCATTGTCATGTGTAGCTACTGTTTTGCTAAATCGTTCAATGTTCTTTTGATTCGACTCCTGAGTTCTCCATTTTACTCAAATAAGACTCACCTCTGAAAGCATTGTCTTCGATTTCAGCGAGCTTACTACCCCAGATCTCAATTTTGATTAGCTTATCGGCAAACTTGGCAAACTGATCGTTGCTCAATTTGGGAACTTGTGACATCGACATCCATACTTGCGTGATATTCCGTTTTGGCGCTTTCTCCAAATCTCCAGCGAAATCTTTACTTTGCACGCACACCCATATCGAGTAATTACCAGGTTGCTGCAGCGCTTCGGTGCTTTCTTGACTTTTGGGTGGATTTTTACGGTAGCAAAAACCATTCGCGTAGTTGGCTAATGCTGCCACAATGACAACGACGACGGCGAGCCGTTGCATTTTGTCGTCAAACTGAGCCCTCGGCCCGATTAGCTTGACGTTTTATACGGCGACAATAGGACACAATTCGAAGTGTATGTAGCGACATTGTACGTGTAGATATATGCACGCCAATCCACGATAATAGGAGCGTAGATTGAGGGGGAGACGAATATTCGCTGTGCTTCACTACCGAGTTTTATGTCATTGGATCGAAGGTGCAAGATAACGCGTAGATCGAATTTTATCAAAGGAATTCATTCGTAATACGCCTCAATCAGGTCGGCGGTTGCGATGGTTTTGCGCGAGCTTTTCTTCGTATGCAACATCTTTTGATTGGCTACGTTACTTGCTAGATCGGTGCCATGAGGTGATATGTGCTTGAATGAGTGCAAAATACGGGGATTAAATGGCAATGGAACGAATCATACTTTGTTAAAGTTTGTATCCTTGCTTTTTATGATAGGATGTTAACGATGTGCGTAATTTGATAGTTACAATGAATGAAACTTCAATCACGTTGAACTCAGAATGGGCAGGGAAAGTTTAATCCAAGAATAATTTTCAATAAAGTAAAATTAATGATCAAAGAAATGAAATTCGGTTGAGATAAAGTAACAATTCTGATTCAATTACTTAAAAATAAAATTGAAGCAACTTTATTCGTCTTTATTCAAATCCAATACACATCTTCATTACCTAAATTATATTATAGGTGTCAAAGCACTTGTCGAAATATCTAGTGTACAATAACCGTTAAATGTGGAGTAATTGGACGTTACGTAGAAACTGGATCAGTAGGCTTCTCGCCTTCTAGCATTTTCGGATATTCGATGGATTTAGTTAATTTAGTCTGCACGCAATCATCCAGTTCAGTTGGGTCGTCCTTCTTCACAATACTACCTTGGCACTCTTTGACCAATTTAATGGTCTCACGAATTCCATCTATCGACGAATAGGAATTTTTGACAATGCTCGGATAAGCATTAGCATAATCGATGACTTTGACTCCGTCACTCCAGTCGTAGGGGTTCCATTGAAGACCAACTTTTTTAAGCTTCGGCCATTTGGCTTTCATAGCCTCCACGTCGAATTTGGTGAGTAGGTTTTCGGAAATCTCGAACTCCACAATAAGTGGGATTTGATCGAAGATGGTAGTGTCAAATTCGCGAATTTTGTTACCACTGAAGTCAAGGCTCTCTGGACAAATCAATAAATTACAGTCAACGTCATTTTTTGCACATGAAACAGAGTTTTCGAAGATAATATTTACCTAATTTTGCAAGATCCGTGAACCAGGACTTTTTTACCTCAGTCAGCTGATTCCGACGTAGTATGAGCGCCTTCACTTCCGTAAGCCCTTTGAAAGCTTCCTCGTGCACAGTTTCGAGTCCACAGTGTACAATGCTGATACCGAGAGCTTTGGTTCCAAGCTTTTGAAAAGAATCCTTTTCAATCTTCGGTACTTTGCTATCTCGGAACGAAACGTTCACAAGTTTGGTGACGTTAACAGGCAACCTGTCGAGATCTGTCTGGAAGTCCTGGCTACGTACGCAACTATAGGCGTCATGTTCGCTGGGGGACGTCGTCACGCTACGTTCAAGGATGCAAGCAGCTCGAACCGCATCGAAGGAGGTGCAGAATAGGGCCAAAGCCAACGCTGTTTCGTAACAATTGATCAAACAATTAAGACGAATTACCAATGGAAAAGAAAGAGTTATCGACTTGTCGCGAAATAATTTTGACAATACCTGTGAACACAGCCGGTGCAACAGACATCGCCGTGACTGATGTACGCTGTACGTGTTCAGTATCACAACTGCACTGGTGCTTACTGGCGTGCTCGCATATTGTCGGCATCAATTTATAGGTCGAACGAGGTACAATCAGTGGAGTGAGGAACCTGTCCGAGTTTGCTCCGTCGTTGCGCTGCTGTTGTCCAATGCTTTGGAGCTCTCTGACGTTTATTCGAATATTGTGCGAGCGTATTGCGTGCCATTGTTAGGGACTCACTGCCGGTATATATAAGCTTCTTATACTTTCGGATCACTACGAATGTCTGCGACTACGATGATTCTTTCGTCAATAGATATGCGAAAAATACATTTTATTAGCTTGTTATTTGCCAAATGTGTTTTGACAGTGTTATATGCTTGTATTTATATTATCTTAATTATTTCTTTGTTTTGTTTATCTGAATGAATTGGTTCAGACTCACTTTTACGACATGCCAATTGTACAAATGAAAAGGATATGAAATAAAATATTGAAGTAGTTACTGAATTATATTTAATGTTTAAAAATTAAATTAATTTTCAGATTAATCGTTTTAAAGGAATAATATTAAATCATTCATTTTTAGAACGTCGCGCAACCATAGTTGATCTAGTTAGCTTTATCTTTGTACTGAGTTCGCAGATATTTAGTTTGTAATATTTTAGAACCATTTTTAGGAACGAACTTTACATTCACAATCACACTGGATAGATAAGAAGCTTAAAAATTCTACCTAAACAACGAAAATAAAAAAAAAATTTGTATGATCAGTGCCGCACGGCGGGAATAAACTTAAGTTATATACGTAAACTTTATATATATATATATATATAACAATAGTCCAATGAAAGAAAAGGAGAGACAGAGCTAGAACCAATAGCAGTGTTGCGAGAGTGGAAGCACGCAGTAGGTGCTCGTATATTACCTACTTGTTTAATATTCAAATTCTAAAATAAATTTTTATATATATTTAATCAAAGTTAAAGAAAGGAATTTGTTAAATAGGAATAAATGATTCAAGAACTTAAAATAGAAATTCCAACGATTTTATTCATAATTCAACTTATATAAATAGCTTTAACTAGATATTACTTGTCAAGCATGTATCAAAACATTGTGTGGAATAAAATAACTACATACACACACACACATGCATATTGTACAAATATTCTTTATTAAAAAAAATGTTAAACTATAAAAGAAGTTTTCTTCAATTGCACGTTTCATTTTACAAAGTATGATAACATTTCTGACAAATCTACATCATCTCTTTTTGCCATAGTTTTAAATCCAGAAGTCTTTATTACGTCTTTTTGGTTTTCTGCCATGAAATTTAGACATTTATTTTTTAATTGTTTTGCATTACAGATATTAGCAATGGTAAAAATTTCTGCTACATTTTCAATGGAAACACTTTCCCAGAGAATGATTTCACATTTTTGTTTTAAATCTATAATATTATATTTTTCAGATGCTTGCATCACTTGAAGAGCATTATCTTGATGTAAATTTACTTGTCCGGTATAAATAAAACTGAGAAGTTGGTACATTGTTTTACCATCAATATCAGAGATATCAACCTTGTTTTCCCTTCTCTCTAACATATCACTATCAAACATTGCTGCAAAAATGTTACAGCGTGCTGCTAATATAACTTTATGAACTTCAAATCTTTGACCACAAGAAGCTGTGATTATAAAATCACTGTATTTTTTACTCTTAAACAAATCTTCTAGATCTAATATAATTCTGCATCCAACCTCATTAGAAGCTACAGTTTTGTTTTGTAAAGTATTGTTTATTCCTGTGGGTATTATGAATTCGAAACATATTGTTAACGCATTGTTGTTTAATAGATTGTTTCCACTTGCCATGATTTCATTATGTTTTAAAAATTCAAACCAATCTATTATTGTACTACGATTATCAAGATAACACCATTTTTTAAACATTTTATAAACTTCTGATTGATTGTTGAGCACTGAAATTTGTACGTGTATTTGAATATTTTGAGTATTGAGATTATGCTTGAAACAAATACTGAGGTTTAATTCTTTCTGGAGTAATAACTCATTAAACTGATTTAGCGTCTGTTTATGGCATATTTTTATATTACATTTTAAATTGCGATCTAATATTTTAATCGAAAATTCAGGTGTTGTTAAATCATTTTTTGAAGTTTCTGGCCAATAGTGAAAATTTTCTATTTTCCACGTGTATTTATGCTCTACGGCTTGCAGTGTCGACAGGCATCCTATAGTCAAAGTACTCATTATGTTATTGCTATCCAAAGGTATTCCAAATGTCGACAGAAGTCTACAACAATCGGTAATCGTCTCTAAAATATTTCTCAACATGGCTGGCTTAGAAAATAAGCTCAGCTGATTTAATATGCTATAAGATAATAACATATTAGATAATGTTCAATCAATTTGTATCTCGCTAAGTTTGATGAAATTATTCCGTCTTCTTGTAACTTTGTAAAGTTTTGTAGTCAATATATCATTCAATCAATGGAAAAATAAGGCAAAAGAGTACGCGATGATTTTCAATAATTTCTTTTCCTCGTGTTTTCTCTTTAGGTATGATCTATTGCTCGATTTGGCGCTCGCCTCACCTTGCAACTTCCGATCGTTAGTTCATACAGGTAGGTTTAATGGGTAAGTTTAATGAAACCAGTAAAAATTAAATATCACTTTATAAGTGGCAATCAATATTCTGGTTAGTATTGAAATAATAATATTCTGCTTTGCACATTTTATGAATCTTAAGTTTCCAAAACTTCTGACACGATTAGTGCTATTTTAAATATATTTTAGGTTAGGTTGAGAGATAATTTATGACAAATTCATATTTGATGAGAAATCTAGTAACAGCTATTACTTACTAAGCTATAATCTACTATCTCTCTTTTAGGCTCTCTCCAGATAAGATCCGAGGGTCAGAAAACCGCGCGGTATTTTGCCATGTTTCGCTCTGTTCTAATCATGGAGACTATATACAGGAGTTGAAGCACAATGTACATATAAGCCGTCGGCGTTAGAAAGTGCCCAAAATACTCATCGTGTAACTATTGAAACGGGTGCCATCTTCCAGTGGAGCCGCAAATAATGTTATCGACGGTATATAGTCTCCATGGTTCTAATAGTTAGCAATCTGGGCAGTGGGCACTATCGTTGTGATATATCAGGGTCAGAACGGGAAGAACGATCGAGGCCTCGATTCGCCCAAGATACGTAAAATACCATGATTACACTTACTCCCGGAATAAACGTATCATAACCTTCAATAATATAGCGTTATGATACGTTTGTTCTGGGAGTGTGTGTTCGTTTGAGGTATGCGAGAAATAATAGTAACTTTCTGTTGTTGGCACTATCAAACTTTTTAGCGATTTGTACGCGTTTGTACGCCGTTGTACGCACGCGTATGCGCATATGTGGCGAGGGCCTAGAGAGAGCCTAGAAATTTGTAATAAGTCTGAAGTGTCTGAACTATTTTGAAATTGTAAAAAATTATTTATCTTTGTTTAAATTATACATAAAGTATCGTCTTACCTACATATGATGTTGTTGATCTTGCTATTTATCTTTATCTATAATGTGATGCTGAATACAACATAACTTCAGATTGTCAATGAATTGTAATAGGATCCTTTGAACATATGTCCACTTGCGTTGGGGATCATCGGTTTTGCCACTTTTTTTACGTTGCGGTCGTTGCGTTGGTAATGATAGTGACGGCGTCTCTTGTTTACTCTCTACCTTATCCGTCTTGAATTCTATTTCATTAATTTTTCTATAAAATAATTTGATACGATTTAGAATTGCAAAATAAAAATCTATTTCACCGCATTTTAGTCTACAAGAATATGAATTTCATAGGAAAAGTTTTGCACCACAGATCATATAACAGGTGGACGACTATAGCAAAATAGATTCAATTGAATTAAAAAAAGAGTCGCTTTAATAGTATTTTCGATACTCCGTGCGCAAAATGTGTCTTTTCCGCACGCTCGGCAGAAAACGTGCGTTGAAAATCGCACTTTCCACATGTCGTATCAAAAAATATGGTACGGCACATGTTCGGGAAAGTAGATATTTTTGCCTCGTGTGGCGTTTACGCCCGAGCGAAGCGAAGTACTTGTATCGTCACGAAACAGCAACTTCTTGAAATGGACGCTAAGCTAGACCCTTCTTGCTGGAAACCGTCGAGGTAAAGTGTAATAATGACGCTATTTATTGTGAGAATGCATCGTTGTTTATTTGTTCACTTATTATTTCTTTATAAATAATTTCAATAACAGTTGCATTATTGACATGTATATAAGATTTCTAGATTTGTTTCGTGGAATAATAATTAATGTTTATTTTTAATCGTGTAAGACGTTCATTGCAGATCGCGTGCTCTTAATAATATTATATAAGTTTATTTCAATCAAATTAATTAATAAATTGTAAAAGATTGGTTCTCTTCAATGACGTATCACACTTCTGGAAGAATCGGTAAAGGTGAGTGCTCTGTGCTAAAAGATGAGCGACATTATCGTTGACCTAATGTTTTAATTATTTCCGCTAAGACGTGCACTTGCACAATAGATTCGAATCCCGACGTGTCGACTACTTCTGCGATGTGTGCTCTAATGAAATTCATTGCTCGTGTTTTCAAGCTAGCAACGTTATGACGATCGGCAATTACTAGTACTTCAGCGACATTTTCTACTGATATGTTGTCACTCAATAGTTGAACGCAATGTTCTTTCAAGCCTTCAATTTGGTATTTGTCCGCGGCGATGAGAAGATCGCTCGTCGATTTGTCGGTGATTTCAATGCGATCTGCGTAAATAAATCTAAGCATCTCTTTCAACACATTAAACTCAACATCTTTTATATCTACCGCATTCTGCTGTCGCTCCATCGTATCGTGTTCGAACATCGCCGCGAAAATCGGACTTCTCGCGGTTAAGATGCTTTTGTGGGCGTGCAAAGCTCTACCGCAAGCTGCGCTTAATTTTACATCGCCAAGTCGTTGGTCAAGAAACAGCTGTTCGAAATGGCTGAGCACATTCTGAGCTACATTGTCGCGCGTTTGGGGTGTGTCGTCACTTGAAACCTCATCGATGCCCGTCACGATTGCGACCTCGCACTGGAGCTTCAGTGAGTCGTTGACAAGTAAGTTCAACGAGTTATCTCTAATCAATTCATTTTTGATAAACGACGGAAAGCCCCAGCTCGAATAATTTTTATTGTACTGGCATTCTTCGCTCTCTTCCATAAACTTCGTGCCATCATTGGTCAAAACTGAAAGTGTGTATTTACCGTCCAATTGATGTTCAGTACCAGATTTTCGGTAAAGATATACGGACAAAAAGTCTTTGTAATTTTCGTTGATGCCCTGCAAGTATAATCTTAGGCACCATTTTGCATCGCTATTCTTGCCTATGCTAAAGCACGGAGATTCAAGCTCTTCTCCGGTTTTTCTGCGCAAGTAACTAAAGTTTTGTATAGTCCATGAATAATTGCACTTGGTAACCAACACACGTGTTACACCCCACTTTTCTATTGCTTGCATTGTGGTCACTAATTCAACTTAATTTTAATTTTCACGCCAACATTTTAATGTCTTGTAATCTAACGCTACGAGAAATCGTCTTGTTCTTAATGTACAATATCCTGAATGGAGAACAAGAGATGTAAGAAGTTCGACTGAAAAGAATAACGAAACAGAAATCGTGTGAGTATGTACTATTAGCGCTCCAGTTGACAACTGACTGCTGATCCAGTCATTTGGAACAAGAGCCTTCCGCTTTGTCAATAGAACCTAGCAATAAAGCGTGAGAATATGTATTATGCGGATACATGAGTGGCGTTTTCAGAGCTGGATTTTAATATGCGTATTGAATGATTCATTGTAGGTAGACGACAAAAAATGCGAACTTATATTTAAATAAAAATTATATTTGTCTCTCTCATGGTGAAAATGAAATTTCTTTTTGACAATAATATCCCAATATCTTTTTGAGAATGACTTTTCTTCTAATTCTACATAATTAAATAATACAATACTTAACATTTTTTGTTTTATTTGTTCAATACAATACAATTTTGGATACTAATCAACAACATATAATAAAATTAATCAACAGTATCCAATTTCATGTCATTTTTTGCAGTCTTCGAAAAATTTCGAATAAATTAGTATCCCGATTCGAGGCCAAAGTTTGAAATGCTGAAGTCTTTATTACTTGTTCCATATTTTGATCGATAAAATTCAGACATGCAATTTTCAACAAGTTAGCGTTATGTAAATCAGTCATAACAAATATTTCCACAGCATTGTCCACGCTTATGCTTTCCGAAAGGACGCTTTCACACAATTGTTTCAAGTCTTCAACGGCATATTTATTGGCTGCTCGAAAAATATCTATAGCATTGCTTACTGTGAGCGACTCAATGTTGCCCGTATAAATCTTATGCAGCAGCTCGTGCATTATCTTGCCATCGACATTAGCATCCCTGACGCTATTTTCCTTATTTTCCAGCATATAATTCTGGAACATCGTTGTGAATACGATACTTCTCGCTGCTAGTATATTTTTGTGAACTTGAAATTCTATTCCGTCTGAAGATATAACAGTGAGGTTGGACAATTTTTTGCTTCGGAATAATTGTTTTAAATCCGACAGAATTTTACAATTTGGCTTGTGCAGAAGTCGCAAATCGTTGGATTTCCGTAAAATGTTGTTTTGTCCGAAGAATGTTAAAAATTCACAATGTATCGTCAAAGTATCTGACAGAAGTAAATTCTTTTGGTCATTTGAAACTGAGCTATGTGTTAAAAAATTCTCCCAACGCGCGATTTCATTATTGTGCTTATTTTTATGTGTAACTTGAATCGATTTTTCAAATTTTTTGTAAACTTCTTGTCGGTTATCGTATAATAAAAATTTTATATATACTCGTTTCTACTAATCCTGCATTTTTGCTTAAATTAAAGTAAAAAGAAATCTGGTCTTTTACTGCAGTTTCAGAAAACGACATAGTGTACGTTTCGTGTGAAAGACTTATATTGCAATTTATTATATTATTCAATAATGTTTTGATTGTAATATTAGGTGATACTAGACGATCCGACGTTAATATAGGCAGTTGTTAAAGTCTATAATTTTCCAAGTGAAGCATTTTTTTATAACTTTGAGTTTCGATAACCATTCTTCTGAGTCACCCATTTTTATTTACAACAGTATGTAATCATTTTCACATTAAAAATGAAACACTAAAATAAACTTAAACGAAGCTAATCCTTAAAGATTATTAAGATATTTTGGTTATGTTTGTTGTTTAAAAACGAAAGGTTTAGTGATTCAATTGTTATATACAACGGTAGATAGATTTGTTAAGCTAAAAATAAGAACTATAATCAAGATTCAACATAAAAATGAATTTTTCGCAAGTTTTTATTGTCAAAATTGCACATCTGATATTAACACATATGAAATAATTATGTAGTATAAAATTTTCTATTACACATTTAATTTATTTTTCAAATTTCATTCAAAAAACGTATCATATAGTTTTTGAGAAAACTAGCAAACATAATAGCACAAGGTAGAATCGAGTCTAAAAGAATTATGCGCTATTCAAATTTGAAAAATAGTCGAACGGTAGAATCGCATACAAAAACTATTGAAATAAGAGAAAGAGCAGAGTAAGAAAAATCACGGATCCTTCTTGGCTGACTTGTAAAGACGGTATACTAGTCATTGAGCAGGTTGTGCCTGTACAGCAGTCTCGAGAGCTTTATTCTCCTCGCTGAGCAGTGTTACTTTTTCTTCGTACTTGCCACGAAGATCTTGAAACAACTGCAGCTGCGTTTGATACTCTTTCTTCAAATCAGCGTTGAGTCTGACCGCAGCATCCATCTTATCCAGCATCGCGTTATGTCGGTCGCGTTCAGCAGTGATCCTTGATTCCATCTTGTCGACATCATCTTGCAAATGCTTCACTTCCATGTTCCGAATGTTGAGCATGTCCTTGGTGATAGCCACGACTTCCTTGAGCGAGCTTACTTGCTTGATCAGCGCTAATATTTGATTCTCTTGGCTCACAACGCGACGTTCACGGTCATCCAGTACGAGTTTCGTTTGAGCTAGGTTGCTTTTCAGATCGTCGAGTTCACGACGAAGATTACCATCGTCGCTACCTACGCCGTTTGTGAGGTTGTTTGGAGAGACGATTGCCAGGGCAGCGTTGAGCTTGCGCTCGGTCTCCTCAAGCTTCTTGCGAAAGTCGTCTCGTTCGCTCGTTCGTTTCTGTTAACATTGTGGAGTCAATTTTTTCAATAACAATTTTTTTAAAGAATCCAAAATAAATTTTATTGACCTGTTAATATAGAAAATGATGATTTATAGTTTTAGTGTAGAGCAATATGCTTTTCTAGCATGTAAATAAGTCTTTAATCAAACGTAAAATAAAATAATAAAATAAAAAATCTAAAGCGATGTGAAACATTAAACATTTACATACTTGTATTTCTTGTTGCAACTGTAAAATAGTACCAGCCTCATTATTGTTTGTTTCAGCGATAGACTCTTTTGTATTGGCGTTGTCATCCTAAAACATTAAATTGTACATTTTCTTTTTATTTTCTCGTGATTTCACTAATAAATCGTCACTGACTATCACACTACAGCTTACATTGAATTAACGTATATATCATTATCAAAGAATCACCTTTTGATTATCTTGAGGGTGTTGTGGAATTTGGCAAACTGCAGGTGGAGATTGCTCAACAGGATTTTGAGGACTTTGGGTGGGTGGTTCTAAATATTCCTGCGAGTCATTTGCTGATTCAGTCGGCTCTTTACTAGCATCACTGCATGCATTATTTTGGGCTTCCGACATTTTTCGTTATTTTAGGGATTTCAACTTCTATTCTTAAACAAATATCCTATCTAGCAAAGAATAATATATCGAAATGATTAAAAAAATTAATTATTTACGATAACACTATTAGCTATATAAAACATGATGCTTTACTACACGTCAGCTATCCGAAAGTTTGGATATATTAAATAACAGACTATTATTTAAAAAATTGTTAAATAAAAAATAATGGACTAATTAGAGAAAATTAGCCATATGCATAATATTTAAATCATAATGCATTACTGTACAAATATTTTTAAAACATCATCGATTTTTAAAGTAAAATAGAATGCTATTTTTACAGGATTAACAGTATGAAATTGACATGTATCTTACATAAATGTTATGGTGGATAACTCAATAAGTTAATTAAGCGAACCTGCGTTTTAGTTTTTGCAATAGATCTAATCGATATTTTAAGCAAAACACACGAAAGATATACATACCAGCACGCAGGCCTGATCCAAACTAACGAAAAATAGGCTTTATTTTTGGATACTCTCCGGTCACTCTATTTTTGAACGTTCACGTATACTTGTTTGCCGCCGGCTACACGTACATACATGTAAATGGGCAAATCTATGTTTACATTGACATCGCACTTTTCTTTATTGTTGAAAAAAGGGTTAACTTCAAATGTTATTAGCGTTAATAACTATTTTGTTATAGTAACAATTTATCGCCAAAAGTTGGTTAGTTATCGTGACAGTCGTCTGTACGCACCATTTTGAACTTTCCGCGTAAAGGCGCAAGTGCGAACATGCTGTTTCTCGTTAAAAAACAAAAGTCTCAAAAATGAGAGTATCAAGAATTTTTCAAATTTATTGTTTTCGAGTTTCTGAAACATAGTTTCAGATGTATAGATATTAATGAAACTGCCTCAAAGTACGAAATTCCAATATCTTAGCAATGTGAAAATTAATTAGTTTGCACGACGGTTCTGCCGCTGACTCGCGTGGTCCTTGACCGTGTGCGTTTAATATCGCAACTCGCAATTGACGTTGCGTGATTCTCCTAGTTAATGGAAAATTAATTTTCATTTTTTTTAATAGGTAAATATTAACTGTTTTTGGTATTTAATATTTTTATGTCATAAGTTTTGCGATGGATTAAAAACAGAAAAAAATCATAATCATTATATCTGTGTTTTACGTTATTTCATCATTCTAACCTTATTTTTATGTGCCTAAAAATTCAATTTGTCTAAGCTATTTATCATAAATCTAATTCTTAAAAAGACTTAATTAAAGTTACTACGATATTGAAACTTATTTTCGTACAATTTATGAATCGTAATTACCTAACTTGTCTTTATTGGATACTTTCATTCCTACAGTTTTTTTATTGTAGGCTTTTTAAATCTTGTTATATTCGTTGAAAAATAGTTTAGAATATTTTTATAAATTGAATCTATTTAACAAAACTTCATTTAAAAATATTCACTGATCATAAAATGATCAACAATACAATAAATAAATTACAGTTGTGTCCTATTTTTCATTGGTTACATTATTCATTTTCACAATCAAATACAGTCAAATATTTTTTGTAACATTTATTCTATACATCTATTAGTTATAGTTTTATCTTTTAAAATATTTTAAAAGTTGTTTACTTCTTTTTGAACAATCTTTTATTTGTTTCTTATTTTTGTCTAATAAGAATATATATAATAACATACTGAATATAAAATTTTGATGCTATAGATAATTTCTTGATATTATCAAAGATATATAGAATTGTTTCATTGTTATATAACAGTTTACTTATAAATGACTAATGAATTTTCAGAACATTAAAATGGAAGAATACGCTAGAGAACCATGCCCATGGAGGATAGTTGATGACTGTGGTGGAGCCTTCACAATGGGTGCGATAGGTGGTGCAATATTCCAGAGTATAAAAGGTTTTAGAAATGCACCAAGTGGTATAAACAAAAGAATGTTGGGAAGTTTAATGGCTATCAAACAGAGATCACCAATTATTGCTGGAAACTTTGCAATCTGGGGTGGTATGTTTTCTACTATCGATTGTACATTAGTTCACTTCAGGAAAAAAGAAGATCCTTGGAATTCAATAATAAGTGGTGCAGCTACTGGAGGTATTTTGGCAGCAAGAAATGGTTTACCAGCTATGGCTGGTAGTGCTATTATTGGAGGAGTTCTATTGGCACTCATTGAGGGTGTTGGTATTTTATTCACAAGGCTATCTGCAGAACAATTCAAACCTCCTACACTAGTCGTTGATGATCCCTCACAATTAGGTCCACCTCAACCAGGACAGCCATTGTAAAATTTGTAAAGTAATTTATGTTAAATAATTTAGAACAATTTTCAATTATAAAAGTGACTATGAGCAACAAAATAACTGCGATAACTTCCAATTTGCCTGAATGAATTATGTGTATAGATTATCAAGTACTTAGGTTAAGAAAGAAAATAATAATTGTTTTGTGTTAAGCCAATTTGTTTTTATTAAGATTTCCACTATATTAATAGTTTACATATTTATGTCATGGTAACAAGCAGTTTGCAACTCATAAATTAATGTTCAATATTTTTGCTTGTATTCCATAAAAAATTAATTATTTATATTATGTACACAAATTTATAAATCAGTCTTCCATGTCATCTTCATCTTCTTCACTACTCTGATACCTTGACACTGTTAAATCAAGCTTTTGTGAAAGAGGATCGATTTCTTTTTTTAATAGAGCATTGGTTCCATTGGTTGTAGTTTCATTAGTTTCTTGTACCTTGCTATTGATTGCATTTAGAATATGCAACTGCTCAACCTAGGAATAATGGAAAAATTATGGAGAGAATATTAAAATTGAGATCATTGATATCACTGTAAACATAAACTGAAATACTAACTTGAAGAGCATGAGCTTGAGCATTTAATTTATCAATCATTTTCTTTATACACTCCTCTTCTGCAACAAGATCTTGTTGGTAAACCAACAGTTTTTCCAAACTTTCTCCGTCAGTCATTATTTTAATTTACACATTATTTTCAAGAAAATCTTCAATATATAAATCTTACGTTTTCCAGGTTAGAATTTTACATACACAACAAAATAAGTCACAATTCGGCGTCGCCCCCTATATACTAGGACTGCGAAGAAAGCCCCCGGGTTTTCACGGGAAATTATTAGCCAGAAAAGGAAAACGGCATTAATTGCTCTAATTGTCCCTGATGTACGTGGTAATTTCCCATTTACGATTAATCCACGGGAAATAGGGGAAAATCGCATTTTCCGTTTACCTACTTACTAGATTTCTCCAGAAATTATTATTCGATTTTTACGGTTCAGGTCTTACAATTAAGATTATAATTTCCCACGCCATCCCCCGTATTTACATTAATGCTAAATATTATTAATTTTAAATAAAAATTCATAATAACATTGATGCCCCGAGTGGCAGGAAAACTGTTTCATTCCGTATTTCTACATTTCGTGGACCAAGAAGCAGAGAGTATTATATCAATGAGTTAGTATTATACACGACGTATAGACTTCAGTCAGTTTGAATCTTAGAGCTACATTTTTTATTATTTGCAGTTACGCATTCTGTTCCAGCAGTGACAAAAATATCTTTCAATAAATCTAGGAATTCCTGCAAACTTTCACACTGGCTTAGAAGGGTTATTGTCTTTGCGTATAAATCTCAGTGATTATTTGTTTTAAAATAATTTCTTTCAATAAAACAATGTATAACAAAATTAGCATCAAATTTGATTGCAGTTTTTACTGCTTGTACTGAATCCATAGTTATATTTTGTAAGCACATATCGATGTACTTGTCACAATTTTTGTTGTATAAAGCTATACTTAATCCTTCCATTATTTCTTTTGAATCAACGTATATAACATTTGGAAAATAAATTGTTTTCATATGTCGAAAAAGTTCTAATAAAAAGTAGCATACATCAAAATTATCTTCAAAACGATGATAAAATATTTGATTTGAAATAAATAAAAGTACCTAAGGGTCTGTCTCCATAGGGCCTGCCTGAGTCCGTCCGAGCCGGCCGAGATTTTTTATGGGCACGCCATCTCTATAATTTCGTGTTCATGCGTTTCTCGTATTGGCTGCGTCCGATCGGGCTCGTTTATGTAAACGCAGCCATTCACTATGAAACTCGCCATTGGATACGAAATTATAGAGATGGCGTGCCCATAAAAAATCTCGGCCGGCTCGGACGGACTCAGGCAGGCCCTATGGAGACAGACCCTAATACCTATAGCCAACTCCCCGGCTACGCCGTGTATACTACACTCTGCTTCTTGGTCCACGAAACGTAGAAATACGCAATGAAACAGTTTTCCCGCCACTCGGGGCATCAATGTTATTATGAATTTTTATTTAAAATTAATAATATTTAGCATTAATGTGAATACGGGAGATGGCGTGAGAAATTATAATCTTAATTTTAAGACCTGAACTGTAAAAATCGAATAATAATTTCTGGAGAAATCAGCTAGTGAGTAGGTAAACGGAAAAATGCAATTTTCCCCTATTTCCGTTGATTAATCGTAAATAGGAAATTACCACGTACATACATCAGGGACAATTAGAGCAATTAATGCCGTTTTCCCTTTTTGACTAACAATTTCCCATGAAAACCCGGGGGCTATCTTCGCAGTCCTCTATATACTCTGCCATAATATTTGCAACCCGCGAAGTTCCAAATCCGAATTATTTTCGACTATTCAGCATTGATAACCTGGATGACACCAAATGAGGTTTAGGTCAAGAGCTTATTTTGGCAAGTTATGTCACTTGTGTTTCTGCAACTTGCCAGAAATTATCCATTTGATGGGATCGAAGCTCAATCGTCGAAAATAATTTGGATTTTTAATTTCGCTGGTCGCATATTAATATCCGGGCAGTGTACACAAGTTTTTCAGGACTACGAATGGCCGCCGGGTTTTCAAGAGAAATTGTTGGTGAAAAAAGGGAAACGGTATAAATTACCTTGGTCGTCCTTGATATCGATAGTAATTTCCCATTTTCAATACGTAAATACGAAATAGGTGGAAATTGAGTTTATCCGCGTAGCTAAAGTATGGCGGTTTATAAAATTATTGATAAATCTTAACGTTTAAGAGCTTAAATAACGATTGTAATTTCCATTGTCATTCCCCGTATTCTCATTCGTTATAAATATAATTGATTTTGAATTACAATAAATAATCATTTTCAACGCTCGAGCGGCGGGAAAGCAAAAGTGTAATGCTGAAATCAGAACTACAGTGCTCTGACTTACCGATAGTCTTGCTTTCCCGCCGCTCGAGCGTCGAAAATGATTATTTATTATAATTTATCATTCGTATCAATTGTATTTACGACAAATGCGAATACGAGGAATTACAATGGAAATTACAATCGTTATTGAAGCTCTTAAACGTTAAGATTCATCAATAATTTTATAAGAAAACCGCCATAGTTTAGTTACGCGGATAAATTCAATTTCCATCTATTCTGTATTTACGAATTGAAAATGGGACGTTACCATCAATATCAGGGACGACCAAGGCAATTTATACCGTTTCCCTTGTACAATACAATTTCTGCAATTGAACAATACAATTTCTCTTGAAAACCCGAGGGCTAACTTCGTAGTCCTAAATTTTTCCGCACCCCGCACTCCGCAGCCGTAGCCTGTACGTAATAGCCAATCGAAAGTTATGTGACATTAGCGGAGATTTCGGATGGAACTAATTGATTTTGCATTAAACTAACAATTTATACTTTTTTCAAACAGCCAAAATTCATAACATTATGTAATATTGGACAAAATAATAATATATAATCACATTATCGTAATAATCTCTGCGCTCTGCGAATATTTACAACTGTAATAATTTGTTACGCTTAGAAAAATGAAGACGGAGTCTTCATTTAGGCGTTGGTTGCACTTAAAATCTCGGTACCCACGCATGATCCCTATGACCTCCGCCCCTTACTTCAACTTATTTTTTATCTGCAAGTACAATACAAAATAAAATTAAAAGGCGGGAAAAAACTGTTTAAAAACAAATTACCAGTAAAATTTAATTCCACAAACCTCTGATATAGACGCACGGCTGAGGTAGCGTACAGTGTGGTAGGATATCTGGTTTATTGCGAGATTTTATAGTGTATTTGTATCCGAGCGAGAACTCATGCACATAGAACCGAACCTTTGATTAGAGAATCGACTCAAGCCCTCTACATATCAAATAAAAATACCTGATTTATCGGCTACGAGTAAAGTTAGTTAGTTTTCATTTATTAATATTACAAAAAGAAATTATTTATATCTAATTACGATAAAAGAGCATACGTAAATGAAATATTAAAAAAAACAAAACACGACAGGTATAAATACAGTAATACTTTATTATTCAATCATTTCTACATGGAGTATTACTTTTTCAATAATTTATAATAATAGGAATTTCCGGTTCAGAAGCTTGTGCGAACCTACTTGATTCTTGACTACGCAGCTTCTGATAAAACTTAATTTATTTATATTCAAGTTCTACCAATAAAGATACTTGTGCAAACATAAAATATACTTTATTTATGAATAATTTATTTCCATGATTTACTCTAAAAAATGATGATTTTTACACAATCGTCAATTATTTTGTGGGCAAATATTTATATTCCATTAATTTATTTTCTCTGCTAATATGATAAAATATAACATTTGCACAAGGTACTGCTATTTACATATCAATACATAAGATATTTTGATAGAAATATAGTTTAAATTTAATTTGCATCTGTTCTTGGTTTTTGATGTATGATCTTTTCAATAATCCAGTAATAGGATACAATTTTGATTATCGTGATAGTTTTTTTTTCATTTGAAATAGTAATTGAATTTAATAATTACATATTTCTTTTATATTTCTATATCAAATTGATATGACAAATTTTATTAAATGACAAAACTAATCGGAATAGCGATAAGTTCCAATTTAGGAGCTGAAGTATTTGGTAGAACATAATATTCTACGATCTATAGCAACAAATTTTGTATCTCATTTTCATATTCTATCGCATACACATGTATCATCATATTTTGGATTTATACTACCGCTTTAATAACAGGTTAATGTTTCCATTTATTTCTTTGGTTGAGCATATTATTCAACAGATAGTCAATGTTACTGAGCACTTTTTTTTTCGTTCATAGCTTATAGTACAGTCTTATTGCAGGACTTTATTATCGTAACATATATAGATGTAGCCCATGCATAACGATGGAATGTTTGGTTTTTTCTACAGTATTTTAGAATCAACGTTATCAATACAGCAGCAAAATAGTTTATATTAATTTTATATTTTTTTCGCAGAATTATGCATGTTGACGAGCGATGAAAGTGCAAATTAAGAAAAGATCGAGACTTTCTTACTTTAGTTGGCTTTTTCAAAATATAATGGCCTTAATATTTTTTCGCTAACAATTAATGACATTTAAGTACGAAGGGAATTCAGCAAACTTACTATATTTATGTGTGATGCATTTTCTTAGGGGAAGTGTTTTATTTCATAATGGCACTACTCGTTACATTTCCAATCACATTTTTTTGAAGCCATCTTTTATGTAGTCCGTTATGTATGTACAGTCTTCAATAATCATATTACTGTTATTGTTTTGTAAATTAAAAAAATTTTATATCTGATTATAAGTACTTGTATTAATGTATTATGAAAGTTCAATTATTTAATAGCTAAAAGTGATTAGTGAAAGCAGTCGTACTTAACCACTTAATAATGATTATTACTTTCACTTTTCTGTCTGGAATTTCTGAATCTTATAACCTGACGTAATCATTTTACGTACTGTCTACAAAAATTCAATTTTGTTTTCTTCTAGTAACGTTAGTTGCTTGATATACTTGTCGGAGACATTTGTGACAAGCCTTGCATGCGCTTGAAATATCGATACGCGTACATTGAATTTGCATAATTTTTTGTACAGAAGTCAGTCACAATTAGTCTCGATAGATTTTCCATTGATAACTTATCGTTCGTTTATTTTCTGTGACTACAAAGAAAATAAACAATGAAATTTAAAATAGTTAGCTTATAGATGATTTTCATATAAGCTTTTCAAAATAATTAAAAAGCTAATGGCATCATCATTAGTATTTTTATAGAAAAATTTTCCGCGCACAATAAACTTGACAAATGCAAGATTAAAAAAATTAAAATAAACAGCTTTAGTATAAAAATCCAGAAAAGTCGATGTACGTACAGCAACAACTCTCTACACATCAAAATCCTGCACACAAGTCCGTAGCGCGCTCCCGCTTCCGACGGCACAGCGAAAAACACCATCTAACAGCCTTAAGTTTCTTATATCATTACATTTGACTCTTAATATTTTACACGCAAAAAACTATAAAACTAAACATTGAAAGTCTGCAGCAATATCGTCACTGTTGTTTTTCAACCGCGATGCAGAGTAGTTAAAAAGTCCACGCGTCATTGTCATCCTACTCGCAATACTCGTATCAGTCCTTGGCAGGCGAGTCGCGACTGTTTTCCGAGCCAGCGAATCCGTGCAAACCCATTCCCAAGTCCAAGCCCGTCGACGAGCTTGTTGGCGAGTTACTGGTACTTCGTGCACTGCTCGAAGCCAAGCCAACCGAATTGTCGCTACCGGCAACTGCGGTAGGTATGAGTCCTTCCTTCATGCGCTTTTTCTGCTTCATACGTCGATTCTGAAACCAGATTTTCACCTGGGTCTCGTTGAGATTGAGCGAGGTGGCTATTTCAATGCGGCGTGCTCGTGTCAGGTACTTGTTGAAGTGAAATTCTTTCTCCAACTCCGTGAGCTGTTTGTTCGTGAAATTGGTGCGACCGGTGTTATTGAAGTTCGCTGCTGCCGCGGCCGCTGCTACGCTCAGCGATACTCCAGCAGGACTCAATGCGCCGCTCCCTCCTGGTGAGATGGAACTAGGTACCAGTGCACCGGGATACACCGCACCTACCCCCGTGGACACTGCTACTGGATTGCCGAAATCGCCACCGATGATCGTACTTGTCTTTGGCGCTGAAAAACAAAACGGATCATTGCTGTTAGGTTTGTTGTCATTTTCCTCGATTTTCTTCTGAAATATGTCATAGGACTGGAAAAACTCAATAAAGAGCCAACTTTTAATCAATTATCTTGAACAACGCTTTACACAGTAATAATGTGACGAAATGAAGAAAGGATTATAGCTGACCAGTGCAATAACTGACGGATTAAACCCTATTATTGACGGACACCCGTACAGACTGACCCATCCGTCGCAGCTGCTTCCACAATGATTGCGCGCAGCTATATTTACCTATCTGCCGTTTACATTTCCCCAAAGGTTTTCTTTCATCTAACATCTCTTTACTTAACGTATATAGTCTTATTTTACGTAATCGGCTAAAATTTTTCAACCACTTTCGTTCTGGAATTAACACTCGGCTCGTCGATCAAGCGTTTGCTTAATGCACTTGTCTAGCAGCGACGTTGACATTATGAAAATTAGGCATAGCACTTCCGCTCAAGATATGTGCTCATCGCTAATTTACTTAATGGAAGCGGGCAAGGAAAAACTCCCTGTTTTATGGGCAAAAAAAAAATATATATATATATATGCATACATTTTTCCTTAAAGCAGAAGTCGCGTCGTATTGAGATGCAAATATAGATTAATATAGCTTATTGCGCTAGAGTGAATGTCTTAGCTTTGGTTAATTGATCAGTTATACATTGTTCGTAAACAATAGACTTGCCATCTGCCTGCAGATGTCTATGTTACGTCTGCAATTGAAAATTGATCTGCTGTTCACGATATTACGATCGTAGTATTACAGAGCAAAAGTCAAGTGCATTCCGAAAATTATTGGTGATAAATGTAAAAAGTTTAAGCTGAAAATTCTACTTTGAAAACTCTTCTCAATTCACGTTATTCTTGCGCTTTACGCCTGCGCAAAAAACCCGACGCATCCCTATCCTACCGTTTGGCTTTGCGCTTCTCTCGCTCTCGCTAGTCGCTAAATTGATGAACGAGCAGCTAAAAGAGAACAAAAAAAGGCCTACTCGACTCGAGGCGTTCTATCTCCCGTGCTTAATAGAACTTGTCCAACTCGATTATTTACTTAGGAAATTCTTGATTCGGCAAATGCTTCTGCGGCCTCGCGCGACTCCGCATTTCGAATAAGTGACTGATTGCTTCTATTTCATATACTTTTTTCTTCTTCCTTTGCCATAGTTTTTTCTTATTTCGGGTCACGATAGGAAGAAAACTTTGGCGACGCTTTTTTTTTCTGGTTTGGGATTTCGCGTCGATCTCATTGGAAGTCTTTCGATACTTTTTCTTTGAATCGAATAATTCGGCGATAACAACGGCGGCTTTTCGATAAATAATTGTTATTGCTGTGCTCGAATGCGTTCCAATCGAACCCAATGAAAATAATTTCCTTGCGCGCACATTCACACATTCACACACATCGTTTGCTCGGTCCGATATCCGCGCAGATTGCGCGCTGGCCGTCGGTCGGAAATTATTTGTCGCGCTGACAAGTGGTCCGCTCGATAGTTAAAGCAATGCGCAGCGCCTAGTCAGACGTTGCGCGAACGAGTGCAATAAAAGGGTTCAGACGTCGACGAGAGTCGCTAATTAACTTTCTTTCCCTCTCTTTCTGACTGGAGCGCGTTGAAGTAGGACCAAGAAAAGTGTTAGCTTCCGCAAGTGCGCTCAGTGATTACATTGTCAGGCCGAGATATCGCACGTTATTACCACTTGACGCGGAATTCTTGTTGAAAGATAAATAATTAGCTATTATTTTTGGTTTACGTTTTATTGTGCGAAGGATATCGCTCGATGAGAACTTATAGGTTATTTGGATAGTAGGATACTTGAAAAAATAAATGAAATACGGTATGTTCATGCATAGAGGGATGAGCTGTACGAAAATTATTAACTGTTAACGTGTGTTGTAAGGTAAGATTTCCTTCTTATGATGCAATTGAAATGCCAATTTGACAAAAAACGCATTTTTAAGCTTAATCACGATATGCCTAAATCGAAAGATATCAAAAGTGCCAATATAAAAACAAAGGACGACAAAATGTTGACTCGTTTTTTCATTATTAAAATATTCAGAACTCTGATTTTTTTTAACATCGCAACTGTCAACCACAACAAAGAAATGCTTTTCATTATTGATATTCATTTTTTATATTAAAGAACAAAAATGTAACAAGCCTTTCAATCTCAAAAAAAATAAAACGCACTTCAAATAGCCAAAAGCCATAGGGTGGTGGTTGTATATTAAGACGAGGTTGCTCAAGACGTCGTCCGGTTATATGTAAGCCGCGCACTCGACCTCGACGCAAAGGAAAACGGGGCTACGGCTTGTGCCGTGTGCTGTATCGATTTGTCGTCCTTCTCTCTCTTTCCTCGTAGGCACTTAACTCTGCTCGACCGCCTAATCACGATCCGCTTACCGAGCGTGAAGAGAATACTTGGATATTCAAATTTGTCGAGGTATTTGCTTTACAATTTTGACTGATATTATATGATACATGATGCTAGGATGGTAGAGTGATTCGACTGTTTTCTCACTGTACGTAACAAAGTGTTTTTTTTTTGTTCAAGTCTACTAGTTTAGATGCAATGGAGCTTAGAATACTTTCGGATAGCCACGAACGAAACTGTCAAAATGCTGCTTTTAAGAAATATAACGATTTCCGAAGTAATTAAGCATCGACCTGTCACTTATTTGATTCCTCGTCAGCCAAAATTTATGCTAATCAATCGCTCGAAGCCGTTCCGAAAAGTAGATTGTTGTGTTGACCATCGCGTTGACGTTTCTCTCAAAGCTAATCATATCTATCCAAATTGACGTGGTCAATCAAGAAAGGCTGTGTATATTTATTCCGTTGCGAAGTGAGCTTCTTCCGTTATGAATACAGCGTATAATCCGTGTACCCGTGCATTTAGGAAGACGTTAAAAGCCCATTCGAAGAGAGAGAGAGAGAGAGAGAGAGAGAGAGAGAGCATCGACTAAAAAAATAAAAAAGAAAAAAAAAGCGGAGACCGTGAGTTTTATGGGTTGCTTTGAAGCATGTGATTGCATCTGTTTTGGACTGGAAACTCGATAGCGATCAAATACACCTGGTCTTCCGGGCGTTCGCCCTCGCGCTGACTTCCCGCCCAACGCACCGCCGCACCGCCACGAAAAGTCACGAGCGTGAATCTTATCTTCGCTGGCGAGAGCTGCTTTAATTGACTTTTAATTTTCTCGCTCGAGAATCGCATCGCGCGGCTCGCAATCGATTCGCTCGACGACGCGAATCGCCACGTCCCCGCCGAGTCGGAGAATCGAGCGCCCGCATGTGCAACACGGCGTTTACACGAGCGATATCCTCTTGCATCATCTGCGGCTACTCAGCAACGGCCCTTAGCCGCTCGAATAATATTTGAATTGCATAATGCGCGCGACAAGGGTCGTCGGAGGCAGATGATACTGTGTACTCAACGGATTGAGCCTTTCTTCCGCGCCCCGCGCTCAAGATCGCCGCAATCGTTTCGTACGGACACGATTTTCGTAACCGTATTAAGAGACATTCCTTTTTATTTCCGACCGTTACAATAAATCATCTCATTGATTTGCTTCAATTTAACTATTAGTGGCTAGGCGTTTCACAGATTAATTTGATTTGCCACTTGGAAAAACTCACTGCAATTGTTCGCGTTACATTGGTTGTTGCTGGAGTATGAAAAAGTGTATTATATCATCGGAAGCTCCTCATCAAATTCACAACTATTACCGCATCACATTTCAAAAATGGCTTATATCAAATTTGATTTTCTATCGGCACTTTGTATCTCACTAATCAAAAAAGTAGTAGATACGACAAGAGTGATTAAGCGAGTAACAAGTTAAAAATGACACTCAAGTCCTACATTTTTTTTTCTCCCTCCCGACTAAAAGTCAAATTAGGCGCTGATAGTCTAGACGCACGAAAAATGTTGGTTGGCTCGCGGGCTCACGGTTCAAGCCCGTACACACACACATAGACGCGTGTGTATGAGAGAGTTGCCGCGTGCACGTCACTCAGTTCATGTTCGTTCGAAGGTATGAGATTAAATCGCGCGCGCGCGAGCAGCCGCGAGAGAGCCACTGCTGCTGCTGCTGCCGCTGTTGCTTTTGATATTATTATTTCCACGCTCGCGAGTCCCGAGAAATTGCTCGATACGGATTTCTGATACGTCCGAATTCTCGTGTAATTTACTTTTCTGCTCGTCGCTACAGTTTGAAACGCGCTGCAATGCAACATTGGTAATGTGATAAAGGATCTTTGAGTGATGTGTTCTTATTAGATTAAACTTTAGCGGGTTATCTTGGCTTTTGATCTTCCCGAGTCATCCTGATTTTTTTTTCTTCAACTCGTGAGCGAAGATCAATTCGGGCCGAGCGAGACCGAGAGAGAAAGACGGCATGCAGAGCATGTTTGGAGAATGACGGCTTATAACTGTACCGATGACGAAGATGTTTGATAATTAAATTAAGCTGCTACTTCATAACGAGAACAATTCGTCAGTTTGGAATTCCGACTCGCACCGTTACATCGATTTGCGCAAATACCAAAAGGAGAACAGAAAAACTCGAACAGTGCTTACTACCGCTCAGGTAAAACACCCTGTACGGCTGAATCGCTATCGTGAAATCTTTCAGTGGCACTCTCCGTGGGTAATATCAGAGCCACCGACTCGCGGCGTTTATTATTGTCCTCGCATAAGCGCCGCGTTGTATCGGTAATGGGTTTATGATATAGGTAATACTACAAGTCACGGTATAAATCCAGAGGGCCACATGCAAACGAAGGGGAGACTTGGCGAAAAAAACAGATTCGAGAGAAAGAGCTTTTTAAAAGCTCTCGATAAGAAGGGAAGCAAAGTCGCTCATAATCAATTTGTCGATCTATCAATCTTCTGACATTTTTTTTCTCGGTTGGACGACGGACAATCCATTGAATTTGATCTTGGTGAGATACTGTAGAATACG